CAAATGTCATTTACATGAAAAAGAAATAATAATGGTCCTAGAATTGAGACCTGAGGCACTGCACATCTTACTGCCATTTTCTGTGATTCACTTTTTTTTTTCAAGTACAACATATACTTTTCGATTATTTAAATAATTTGTTTAAACCAATCGGAACTCAGACTAATATAAGGTTAAAATGCAATCTAGAGAGATTAATTTCGAGTGGCTTTGTTTTTGGGAGGATCGCGATTAATGCGAGGTGTTGTATGATATCTGAGAGTTGGAAATTGTAAGTTGTAATTGTAAGTTCACTTTCATATAGGTTTGAAGAACAGTTTGTTGTATGTTATGATCATTGTGCAAATCAAGGATGATAAGATTAAATATTGAGATGTTGTGGTCGGACAATACAGGTCCGCATCATGCAGGTTAGCGGGTGGTTTTACTTTTTGCTAGCGGAACTAATTTGATGAGTGAGTTGAGTACATACATGTGCGATAGCAAGTCTTCGAGAAGAATTGCTTATGGAATCTGCCTTCGATATTTCAACAGGTGGATTGGAAGTATCATTTTCCGGCAGTTCTATCTATTTAATCTGTTTAGTTTCCCAATTGGCGGCACGAGTTGGCACTATAATGTGCATAAAGATCTATAGTAGAATAATAAATATGTAAGGTACATGAAATGTCAAAGTGGCCTGGTGTATTCATTTGAGTTCTGGTATTGGAGACTAATGATAACAATTCACCTAGTTCGACAGTGCCCTGGCCCTGTTGCAAAATTTAAAGGGGGTGTAGCATGGCAAATACTGTTTAACGCCATCTACGACTTCTTATGCACAACTGCACGTAAATAATAATAATAATAACAGTTCGTCCTTATATAGCGCATTTCAGGACCGCAGGCCCTCTCAATGCGCTTTACATATATATTTTATTACGAATGGACTTGATTAACGGTCAGCGCGCTCTAGCGTTCGTGAAACAGACCGAAGTTCTCATGACGATGATGATATGATGATAATGATAGTAATAGTTATAGTAATAATAATCTCCGGGTTTATGAGGTAACATCTATTAAACAGCGTTCTTGCTATCATCAAATAAGTTTGATCGTCAAGATTTGTGCTTACAAAATTAATGCTCAAGGACTATGTGGGTTATTAGGCAAACAGTTCTGATATTGCATTTTTGGTTTGCCTATTTAATTAGCGTGATTTTATAGGTTGAAAAATAATGTTGTGTTTCTGTGTTAAAGCTTCAAAGGCTTTCGTGTACGAAAATGTGACGAGCTCTAGTCATGTTCTGCTTCTCTTGAAAGGGCGCCATATACAGTCAAATCTGTCTACAGCGACCGCCCAAGGGAAACACAAAAAGTGGCCTTTGTAGACAGGTGGTCTTTGTAGACAGGTTTCTTTAGTACATTTTAATCGGTGAAACCATTTTCAAGTGAAATAAAAGATGTGCTTGTTGTAGACAGGTGGTCTTTGTAGACAGGTGCGTCAATAAAGCAGGTTTGACTGTATAATCGACCATCGCTTATTTTATATTGAAATATGCTGCAAACTCCTGGATAAGTAGTTTTCAAACAACAGACTGATTGTAATTATGTGGTCGACATAAAGTTCGAATCCAGTATATTAAATGAGGAAATGTCACGTCTAATCGTTGGTAAAGTTTACTCAAGGCACATTAGGGCCTATTCAATCACTACTAACATATTAGTTGACAAGGTATTGTATAATTAGCTGAAAAGACTCATCTCCCTGGTAGTACCTGTTTTGGTGTCAAATTTTGGTGTCCGTTACACTTTAAAATGCAAAACTTTTCCAGTGTAAAGGGACAAGGGATATATCGCCTCCCGGTGGGGTCAATCTGTACCCTCAAATGTTGACAATCTAGTAGACTAAAGACTGGTGCCCCCCCCCCCCTCTGCTGAAATGATTCATATTTTTCAAAGAAAATATAAACGGAAATATCTTACAGATACAAAAGTGTGATTACGTGATCTTTCCATAATATCTGCCGAAGGGATTCATATTTTTCAGAGAAAATATAATCACTAGTAAATCCTAATTACGAACTCGCTTATTAATTATAACAGCCACATAATGAAGGAATTGGGTAGAACATGGCTAGCAAAAAGGGACAAGAAATCCTTAAGCTATGATTATACCACACATTCACTTAAACAGGGATTTATCCTTCTTTATATACCTCACTTAAGAAATCCAGCCATCTGATTGGTCGAAATTGCTTTCATAAACTTCAACTATTCCTGTAAAATTCCCGGTAAAATTCCAAACCCATGTAATAGTTCAGTCTTGGTCAAATACCCATAGTTTCACATGTTAAAAAATGGTCTGAGCGATCGAGGAAACCGTACGTGTGCGATGAATTGGTCGGTAATTTCAATACAATTGAATCTCGATCGATCTTACCGACAATTTTATCTTGCATTGTTGACATGAAGACGAAAATACACTTCCAAAAACAACATCTGCCGATAGATCTTGATCAAGTTCGTGCCAATGCATTGCAAAAGTAAAAGAAGGGCCTGTTAAATGGAGCTGCCGCGAAGCATCCAGCACGCGAAGCCGTTTTCAATCCATTTTAATGTATACATAAGAGAAAAATGCTAAATATGGTACCAGTGCGCGATGGCCGAGCCGACTAAGGTTGTGATTTTAGTCACATCATCGTTGGTACGCAAGTGATCGAATCCCGTCTTCGACAAAAAAAATAATATTTTTTTATTTTTTAGTCTACTCTCAAAGATACACTCATACAAAAAAAAAACCGTGCAGACAAATTAGATAAAGGCCAAGATGTTGTCATAAGTTGACTCTTTTTTTTTCATATAAAAGTATTAATGACTGCTTTAATATTCGAGAAATAGTTGTTTTTATACGCTCTCGGGAAGGTTAGAATTGTGCTATTGCCCGAGGCGTCCCTTAAGCGTATAAAAACAACTATTTCTCTCAAAGCAGCAACTATTTCTCTCAAAGCAGTCATTAATACTATATTATACAAACATTATCAAAATTTTATGAAAATATGCCATGTTTATAACTTTTTTCACTTAACTAAACTGATTATACGGGTTTATTTCTGATTGTAAAATCCTCGAAGGGATGGGTAATCTGCCACACCAGGCAAACCACAATCAGAAGTATATTCTATAGCTTTCAGACCCATATCAATTTCGAGATAAATTCCATCTCCAAATGTGTAAACTGAATTGTTTAAAACATGAGTGTGTTTTAACGTTTGGAATACTTACATTGTCATGTTGATATTTTGTTGAAGGCTATAAAACATTGGACAAAACATATTAATAGCATCGTATTTTTACCAAGAATATAATTACGAGTGTATTTTGTATACCCCATCAAAATGAAAATATCCGGAGATTACCATCTCAAATTTTGTTTTTAATTTTTTTTTAAATCAGGTGGAATTACGATTAAAGTCTTTATCTTGTCGCATCTTCTCGCCAATATAGTATCGATTTCACGAGATGTCTAACTAGTAAGCTTTTCGTGAACCGATTTAAGGAAGATCAGGAACATTTCCGTAGTTGGCGGATTAAGTTATTACTGTCTTTGTCGTTGGTTTCGAAAAATAGGCCCCAGCTACTAAAACGGTATCATCTGCATTATAGGGAATGTTTTGTTGACATTACCCTCATCCTTAACACCATTGTGATCCTTGGTCGAGCTTTTGATCATTTCATTGTAAACGTTAAAGAGATATGGTAACAACACACGATCTTGTAGTGCGGTATGTAATCCCGTAGGATTTTTTTTGCCAAAGTTGATTTATTTTTGCTGCTTTGGCTTCAAAAGGGTCCCAATTGGCCCAAAATGATGGGGTTCAAATTCAGACCCCTCCTTCATTTCCTGGGGGTCCATTATCTGACGCCAAAATGGCATATAATAACGCGCAATAGGGAAATTTGGTGTCTTCGGGAAAATCTGAACCCCATCAATTTCTGATAGCTTGGACCCCAATGAATGCAAAAATGCAACAAAAACAAAAAAAACAAAAAAAAACTTTGGCACAAGAACAACTTCTGTAAATAACCTTTACGTAAACAGAAATTTTCCAATATATTAGTTGTAATTGACACTTTAAAAGTGTAACTGATATATTTCATGAATGCATTATAATAGGATTATGGTTAAAATAGATAATATTAATAATAATAATGATAATAGTAAATCGTTTTTTGTGTATCCCGGGATGCAGCAGCAATGCTGTTCATCTCGAGGGCCCTGCAAATATCGTTACCCCAGAAATATAGCCAGGTACCCATTTACAGGCTGGGTGGAGAGTGACAAATGTGGATTAATGTCTTGTCAATTAAAGGACATTCAGTATAGGGCTGGAATTCTAATCCTCAATCCTATAGAGTTGAGCCTGGTTTCAAGTGAATGAGCCGCTTTACCACATTCCTAACATATATAATTATACAAAATATATACCACCCTAATGATGGCCTATCAGTATTTTTTAATCAATGTCATAAATACCATCATCAGTATTTTATACACATTTTCTGCACATTTGGCAATTCTTAGAAGTCTATTTTGTGATTCAACAGTGAGAATTATGTCGTCGACGTGACTATACAAGGTAGGGATGCAACAAGTGTTTTTCATTTGAGGCGCTGTATTTTAAATTTCGTATTTAATTCGCAATTCGTTTTTGCTGAGGATGGAAAAATAACATTCGAAATCATCTTTCATCAGAGTATATTTATGTAAGCATATGAAACCCCAAACTTCCAAAGCTACACGTCTTTTATAATCAAAATTCTAGTTCTGTTCGCGACGCCCATCTTTAAGACTTGAATAATCCTGGGATCGAGGCAAATAACAAATAGGGACTTTTAGATTCGCACGAAGACAATGGGGATTGCTACGATCGACGTCCTTTTATGCACTGCCTTGAATGCAATGGACGTCACACTTATCAGTCCACGAAAATCTAAAAGTCCCTATAATGATTGGCCGATTGCGACATCGCGACATCAACAAGTGCCCGACACACTCAATTTGGTAGTGGTACGGTACCGGTACTTGGCTCACTGTCACACTGCATTTCACTGGGCGCAGTTTGTTTTGGGCAGGAAATGGCTAGCTTTAAAAGTTAAAGAGTGGAGTAATTGCGAATGGCAACTACCTCCAACACAATCATCAGGCTCTAATCGATTTTGCTGTAATATTTATTTCTTAAAGTGAGCCGATCGGCTGTTAAAAAGCGAAAATGTTAGCCGAGTTTGGAACTTCACTTTGCTGCTACGCATCGACGTTCTTGCTATGCCACGTCCTCCGTTTCTTCCTCCGCCGAACTCTTCCGAGGGCTTCCTACCCGTACGCCGCTGAGTTCGTCGACACTTTTCTAATGATTTGCTGCCTTTACGAAAATGGAATGGTGCTGAAACTTGGACTCCTGCCTTTTGCTTTGTGCCTTCTCACCTTGTCTATCGTATATGCGTTTTTATTTGAGGGTTTCGCAAATCCAGCAGTGGTTCTTGATTATGTCATTAGGAGGAAAGTGAGTTTTGTGGCAGCTGTCGTACTTGTGCTGTTGGAACTGATTGCTGCAGTTTGTGCATATCGTTACACAACGTTTGTGTGGAAAACTTTTGCTCCTTCATCCCGTCATTATCAAGCAGCAACTGTGGAAATGTTGGCAGAAAATTGCAGCTGTGGTTTGAATGTGAGTGTAACTGACCTTTCAAATTTAAGTTTGACATAGGTCTAATTATATTTCTTAACAATAACACTTTTCCCCATTTTCATTTTTTAAATAATTATTTAGGGGGAGGGGCTGGGGCAAGGTGAAAAAAAACTACAGGAAATTAAAAAAAAAATGAGAAGCAGATTAACAAAATAAATTTAAAAAAACAGGAAAAATAATTAGATAAAGTGAAAGGAGGAAATAAGGGGGTGGGGTGGATTGTATTGTTTCATACCAACACCAACAGAACTGCATCACAGTCGTGTGAAGTACAATTTTACTTTTGTTGGAGAGGGAGAAGGGATATAACCCTGGCTTTAGCCCAGCTACCCTTTAATAGAGGCACTCAATCATTCAAGGAAAATAAATTCCTACCAGTTACCTATTTACTAAACCTGGATGGAGAGGGGCAAGCGTAGGTTAATCTAAGGACAGTAGTGCTGCTGTAGGATTTAACCTGGTGACATCCACTAGACAACGATGTAGGCCCATGGTTAAGACCCCGGTTTTGATTGATCCTTTATAGAATTCAGGCCGTTAGAAGTTTATATTGATCTCTACAGTGTATGTATCATCTTTCTATGCAGGTATCACCACTGATCGGTTTTGCTTTAGAGATGTCTTCTGTCGCTTTCCTGAAGCTGGTGGCAGGATACTACCATGGGGGCAGGAGGTTCTGGAGAATCTTCAATGGTGTCGTTTCGGTTGTCATCATCATCTTTGGTAGGAAATTAGGAATAGAATTGTCAAAATTAGACCTTTAATAACATTCTGGGCTATAATCACAAATGTCCTGGGCCCTGTTGCACAAAACTTACCATTGATGGTAACTACCATGGAAACCTTTATTTTGATTGGCTGTTGAGCCCTGTTACCATGGTAGTTGCCATTGATGGGAAAGTTACCATCAATGGTACGTAAAGTCTTATCCAATGGGACCTGGTTTAAAACAATGGTGTTGGTTTGGTTGCCATTTCATCTTTGGGAGGATATGATCAGTGGTTGTAGAAACCCACTACATGTATATTAGATGTCTCAAAATCAGTCATTGTCTCATGACGTTGGCATTAATGAGATAACATATGAATGGCCTTGAGTGGGATACATGGGTCTACTATCCCACAAGCTGATGAGCATATTAGGTATCTTTGGTAGGCTTTGATTAATAATGGTTGTAGAAACAAGCTTAGATTTGTCAAAATAAGACAAACTCTCATACTGTACATGTAGTCTCATGACAAACGCAATAATCGCAAACGCCCTGGTTTAACATTTTGGATATATCTGAAAGCAATATAAAACATTAAGTTGCAGGAAGGGAATTAATAAGCATTATTTGGCTTGATGGATTTTGTATTTTTAAATTATTTTATTAAACCGTGAGTGAATGCCGTGTCATCTACGGTGTATTTGTTTTCTTGTAGGTTTGGAGTACACCGGAGCGCCCATGAACCCCATCCTAGGATTTGCATCAGGATGGGGCTGCAAAGACCACTGGTTCCCCTCCCACCTGTTTGTCTACTGGTTGGGCCCCTTCCTGGGTATCAGCATTGGTGACTGGGTGGTCGAACACTTCATGGACGTCGATGGCGGGAAGATGTCGGTGACGTCAGCAGGGGAACATAAAGAGCAGAACGGAACAGTACTAGAAGAGAATGGAAATCATGAGAAAATTCAGTGAAGGTTTTAAAAAAGTTTTTTTAATTTTTTTTTTATTGTACTACCTGTATGTGCCTCTTGATATCCTCCTTTCAAAGATATTTGTTGTTCATTTCCTCTTCTTCATGCTGTTGAGTAACAAAATCACAAATAAGAAAATGTTAGTCATTCACAGCTCACAATCTTTTCTAGCTGATTTGAGAATGTCAGGGCTCAAAGCATGACAAAATTCAGTGAAGGTTTATACAGTTCATCTTCTGTTTTATTGTACTACCTGTATGTGCTCACACTAATGGGTGCCCGGGACAATACAAGCCCAAAATCTCAATATTTTTCAAATATTTTACATAGGGCTTACAGTATGTACATGTATACTATACAGACTCTAAAACCCTCAAATCTGCACCCCCTTTTAAAAATTGAGTATTCAGCCCTGTTGATATGCATGCATAAAGCATAAGTCCATATCTAAAAAAAAATCTTCTTTTTTTCATTCTTGAAAATTTATGTACACTTTGTATTTAGCGATCCATTTATTTGGTTTTTATTTGCAGGCTGATTTTCAAGGCTACTCCATGGTCAAAACAAGTTTTAAACTCCAAACCTTGACCAAACCTAACAACCTAATTGCAACCTTGACCGAACCATTTTTCATTGTGAAATTCAGCCTGTAGCAATTGTTGGAGCATAATGCAAGAGTACTTATTTTAAGCAAAAATTATTATACAGAACAAAGAAGCTATTACTCATCAACATTCAGGTTGTATGTATCTTTCCTTGTATTGTTCAAAATTTTTCTCCATATTTTTATATCTGAAATACAGACCAACGAATCCTTTTTTTTTGCTTTAACATTCACATCTCCATTACAATACATGGCTCATATACATGTAGTGACCTTTTTTTTTTTTACATACACAGTTGCAATATAACAGAGCTTATATACGCATGACTTGCCGCATATTTTTACATTCACATATATTATGTTGCATTCCAGGAAATCTCCATGCATTTTCATTGCCGGTAACCTGTTGTTTAATAACCCATTGCCTTCGGGAACCGGATAAATCCTATATTAAGCCTATTGTTATTGGAAAATTTGGTAGTCATTGGGTTAAATCAGTTTTCATACTGAACAAACAATAAATTCATTCAAGAATATCTTTTAGGAGCAGCCTACTTTTAGACATATTTTGAAATTTCTGTGGAACTGGGGCCATATTCTGATGACTAAGTTATCTTTCATAAAGAGAATGATGTTAATTGCCATGTAACAAACTGAGATTGCTAAGAGTAATGACTTCTTTAAGTGGTGCTTGTGGGCTTTTGTGGCACAAGCACCTCTTAAGAAGTTATTATTCCAAGCAAGCCGTGTGCAGGTGTCTCTTTGTGCAAACATTGGTCAATGACATATGCCAATTTTGATAAGTTCTGAGTTCTGACATAACATAATTTAAGACCACATAATTGTCAGAATTTCAACCCGTTGGATAAATGTACTTGTAAAGTTTTAATGTACTCATTGTTTCTGCATGCGTATATGCAACCATATAAGTGTGATGTACAATTGTAAGTACTTAAAATTTAAAAATCCTAAATATAAATTGATCTTAATGAAAGGAAGCACTATCTATGTGTCTCTAAGTCACATTTAGATTACCCCAGGATGGGTTTAGTAACTTTAGTTCTCAATGCAACTTTACCAAAAGCTAAATCAATCGGTCAGTTAAGAGTTAAAGGGGCATAGTACTCAAATATTTTAAGGAGAGTTAACACCCTTCTGGCTCTCAAGAGTTGATATATTTTGGCAGCAACACTTGTTTAAAGCGGTTCCCACTTCCTGTGTTAATAGGCCTTGAGGGTATCCTTTCCTTCAACTATAGAAAGATCATTGAAAGAGGCATGCATGCATGAAATTACCTTGGAAAACGCTAATGAGTTCTTACTCAGGCACTAATTTGGGAAATCAAATTGATTAAATAGTTTCCACTTGACTTCATATTGCCATTCAAATCCACTTGTATCCAGTAATTTGAATCACCTCTTCTCCAATTTGGCTTTAGGTCAAGTTCATTTCTGGAAATATACACTCTACATGAACTTAAAAGGGACAGATGTTATTTAATATGATAATTTCCTTCTGACTTCTGGGGGGGGGGGGGGGCCAAATTTCCAAGATTGGTTGAAATTTTGTACACCCCTCCCCAGGACGTCGATCAATTACATGAATGTGCCCCCCCCCCAAAAAAAAAAAAAAAAAAAAAAAAAAAATCATCATCAAACTCTGGCTACGGCCCTGGTTAACAGGTTTAACTACAACACACCTTTTATTTGTACCAAAGTAGTTTTACATGTAGGTATACACATTCTGACTATAAATACATCTAGGCCCAAAATGTAAATTTGAATTCATTGTCATTCCTTTTCGAAAGAATTCCCAGTAAACCTTTCAAGCCAGTAATTCACATTCCTAGTTTTCACTATAATTACTTCTTTGCTTGAAGAGATGGTTGTGGACCAATTACAAGCTGGTTTGTCTGAAGATCTCAATCCTATTCAGTCATCAAAAACCAATATCATTGGCAATGAAGTGAATGGATGGGTGACCTCAGTATAACCTGTCTTTAATGACTGATGTCAATTAAATATTAAAGTGAATCTTTTGGTCTTTTCATCATGCTTCTTTTTTTCCCCTTTCACTAGAGCATTATCCTGCAATATTAAAGCCCAGTTTCTTTGCCATTCCACCTTTAGTTGTATATTAATGTACTTTATGTAGTCTGTAAATTCAGTCCTTGTTTATACATACACTGTACATTTAAAATAAGTGTCTTGAAATGAGAAGCAAATTTAGAAGTGTTATCGCTGAATCAGTTTCCCCAAATACTTGAGTATAAACTGGTACAGGAATACAGGCCTACAGACTCAATTTGTCCTCTCAGTCCTTATGAGCAGAATTTTGCTAAATTCATCACTTTTTGACAAATTATTGGGGAAATGAAATTTCTCCAAATAATATTATTATGTCTTGAGTCATTTCATGTAATATTCATGTGATATAATCTACTCCATTCGTTTATCATGGTTAAATTATGTCATACATGTATTTTGTAAAATTTGAGGAATTTCTCAAAAGGCGACCACTTTGGGCTTGATTTAGTAGCCCTCAGCACACTGTACATTTGAGCTACATGTAGATTGCATCATGCTCATGCATGGATTTTTGGAAGTCACAGCTATTTTGTCATTTGATAGTTAATACTACATGAACATGTATAACAAGTAGTACACAGTTCTGCACACATGTATGGTATGTAAATTGACTACAGATTTGTCATTTCAACCCATATTTGATCTGACCAAGGCTCTCTTCTACAGGGCTATTGAATTTTCTTAATACAATATGATAATATATGTTAAAATCCTACATGTTTATGGTCAGTAATATATGTGAAAAAGGACCTGGATTTGCCCTTGTACACACACACTCTATAGAGGTTGCACTTCGCTTGACCAGTTTCATATTAAATTTGGATGGTCAGTGGTCAGTCTGTGGTGACTAAGCCCTTAATTGGGCTGACCTCTGCATCCAATTACGTGATGCCTATTACAATTAACTATTTACTGACCTGGGCGAGCGGCAAACCTGCGTTTTGAGCAATTAAACATTAATAAAGGCAATTTTCTTTTTTTAATGGTATGGTTACCATAGGATCAAGGTCATTAAGGGGCATGGTTGGCTGTCCATTTCAATTATGAAAGCAGCAGTAGTAATTTGCTTTCATTACACTATAGTCTACAGATATTCTTAGTCACATTGTGGATTTTTTTCCTTAATAATGTGGGAGAATTAACTACATGTACGTTTGCCTCATGTATACTCTATAGATACATGTACGTACAATTTACATTTTACATGTATTCTGTATAAAAACTCCAGTATTTCAACTAAGTCTTCCATCAATTTGAGTTATAACAATGTATTTTGAAATCTTAAGTACAGGGTGTATTAGAATATTGCTTAAAACCTATTATACTGTACATATCATCAATTATACAAAATTTAAGAATGATAATGGCTTTAAAAGTGACTATTACTGATTTCTTTTTGTTGTTGTTTTGGTACAGTATACATGTACAGGTGTACGTGTGTACATGTGCATGTAGGTATTAACATTTTTTTTCTTCTGACAAATTGCTTCTGTCTGGAAGAGATAAATAATTTCTTGCACTGAATACCTTTTGGAATACATTATGGCAATCTATACATGTATTTTAGAATAATTGATTTTGGAAAAATATAAATAATATACGATGTAAAGGGACCATAGATTTAAAAAAAAAAGAAAGATCAAAGATGTGTGTGATTTTCTGATTCATGAATGATGGTAATTATCTATCTACAATACATTATCTATATATATTTGTCTTTATGTAGACAGCGTACAGTATCTAATTTGTAGAATAATCACTACTATTTCAGAGTTTGTTGAGAGCAGAAAATGCATTTATCCTCTAGTCTACATGTCTTATCATTTTGAAACTACTTTTATTCCAAGTATTATTGCTTGTTCAAAAAACCAATGATTGCTTTTAATGTTTTCCAACATTACAGTGTTCTTCCTTATTACATGTGTGTATTGTTTTCGAGCTAAATTTATTTCAATATTATTTCAAGTCTAATGACATGCTTGTGAAAAAAAGGAGGTAAATGATTTTAACATGTTTTCCATACAGTAAATTCTTCATTATATGCCTACCTGTACTTTCTTGGGTGTAATAATAAGAAACATTCTAGACTTATGTTGTACCCAAATATATGTAGATTGTCTCTATTATAAGCACTGTAAATATTTGGTCTAGTTACATGTATACTGTGTATTGTACACAAATATGTAAGGCTATTTCCATTTGCCTGCGCCTATATATAAGGGAATTGGTGACTTGATCATGTATTTGTAATCATACTTGGTTTTTACTTTGAAGATGTAGTTTTTTGATATTCACTATAAAAGTATAAATCATAATTATCTTTGGCGATGATGATAAAGATGATGATGACGGTGATGATGAGGATGATGATGATGATGATGATTGTTATTATTATATTTGTTACTATTGTTAAATTGTTATAACTATTATAATTACAATCATTATCATCATCATTTCCTATGGACTTTTTGCAATACGTCATGGCCATTATCTCTTTATTTATAATACTACACAATTACCTGATTGCAAAGACATAGAAAACCAAACTGAAGCAATTCTAATAGCCTTAATTTGAGTGACCTAAAAAAAAGTTGATTAGTGAACATTACAGCATCTACCTGACCTGTACATTATGATGTTACATAATCTGAACATGGTTTATATAGAGAGTACTACAATGGGGAATTGAAATTGCCATTGAATGAATTTCAAGAAAGTCTTTACAGTCATTTTATCATTGATGATACATGTATCTATTACTACATTGTAACTACATTTATAGGTACATGTACTTTTTGCTATCATGATCATTGTCTTCTTGAATTGAATGATTCCATTGATTATCTTACAATCTACCTCTAAAATGATCATTCAGCATTCATATTCATCAGCTGTTTTAAGGTGTATTATGTTGTTTTGTAATACACATACCATTTTGTTGATTAATTAGAGGATTTTATTTTTGAACTGTAATATTTTTTATTTTACTTCTTGCATCGTGCTACCATTGCCTTGTCATTTATCTAAATATATATATTCCATATGGCTAATGTTTTGATGTTTATTTTCTTATTATATGTATTGGTATGTTGATGGATACTAACAATTTGAATAAAAGCTGAAATAAAATATGTTTTCATTTAGTTTTACCGTAATGTGTCTGATATGATTTGACTTTCCGTCTATGACTCCAAGAAAAAGGTTGAATTCTTGTAAACCTGGAAAATGATTTGTGAGCTTTCTCTTTCTCATTTTGCCAGTCTTATAGAATATCAATCTTTGATCAGATTCTAGTATTACTTTTGCAATGGTAGTCATCCTTGAAGCAGCAATCAGCTGTACTAAATAGAGCATGAATGCGTTTTTCAACACATTGCCTCACAAAAATAACAGGAGGCTTAACCCACGGTGATGATTTTGGTGTCATTTCATTTTGAAAGGAATATTCTACCCAGTAAAACAAAAATCAATGACATTGTTGTGTCGATGATGTCAAGAGTTTGAATTGTAGGCCCCAAACCAGCTAAATCTGTAAAATGTGCATAAACTTGCATAATTAACCATGAAGAGTAGCTTTGATTTAGTATGTTCTGTGGAGAAAATTTAGATATACATGTAGCCATGATGAATATTATGAATAGATCAATAAAAGACTATTTTTAGAGATAGAATAATGTAGGCCCTATTGACAGCTGAACTCTAACATTTTGTATAAAATTGCTAATTTAACCAAAAAGACAATAAGATTTTGCGAGTCCTGTGGAGAAGAATGAAGCCTTGGGCTAGTTAAAGAGAAGGTTGAGTTTTGGGGAGTGGTGAAAAATAATTTGTGAGCATTTTCATTGTTATTATGTAAATGTAAAGACTGGGTCAAATTTCTTATCATTTTGATGATTCCAGAGCCTTACAGTACACATCAATACTAGGTGATCAACCTTTTCTGATCGATTCCACAACGTTTCTTTCACAATGCAATTGCATGACCTGAAGTCAACTCTATCTTTAAGTATACCAGCAGAAAGTTTGGTGCTTTTGTCCACTGTGGCCCCATTAAACTTAAAGGGCAATCCAACCTTATGAAAGCGGAAATATTAGACTAAACAGAATGGGTAAAGTTTGAATAAATTGTACCAATGATAAGAAAGTTATGAGTGTTTTGAAATTATGAGATCACTAAATCTATGTGAACCCCAAATTGGCAATTTCTTCATTTGATTGTCATGGACAATCCTCCTGTTTGTCATCTACAAAAATAAATTAACAAATTTCTGTTTTTCTCCTAAGCGCCTTCTCCCTTGGGGCTTGTCTCATAATATATTGTGGTTAGCATAATATTATTAAAGGTTCTCTAAATGGGAAAGACTCTCCAGAGTCATACATTTTAGTCATTTTGTCTGCTACTACATCAAAGATACAGATTACAGATTCACTGAGCCAATTTGAAGTGCCCATGCGTAAAGTGATAACTTTAAAAAAAAATAATAACTTTAATTTTTCTCTGATCTTGCTCAAACTCTCACCAATTTGCTTTTTTGATATTTCTGCTTTCTTTTAGAATAGTGTACTATTAAAAATTAGATTTCCTGACTACTTTGGCAGATTTAATAAATACAATGTACAGAGGCGCTACATTGAAATTATATAACCGTGCTATTCATGTTCCTTCAGTAATAAATAACATTACACTGTCCCATTAAACCAACCTTGTACTTTTTAATATATAATACACGAGGCTATTATTTATACATGTATGTATGTACATCTAGAGTACCATCATACTTCATTTATTACATTATCCTTGTCTCAACAGACAAAGGTCAAGAGTACATAACAAGAAGGGAAAACGAATGATGAGCAAACATATGTTTGTGGTGTCTATATCATCCAAGGTAATGTATCATATCAAAATTCAATCAGTAACCCATATCAATGATGTAGAGGAGTTATGCATGCAAACAATATTTGTACTGGTACATTTATTATACAATGTATGTGCGTTTATGTAAACAGAGGAAATTAAGAATGTTTTTAACTGACATATAGGCATCGATGCAACAAGTTTTCTGTTTTTCAGAATCTGTTTCCCTCTGTGTGAGCGTGTTTGTGTGGGTCTCTCTCTCTGTCTATTCTTATGTCTCTGCCTTTCTCACTCTCTCTCCCCCTCTCTCTCTCTCTCACAGTGCAATATCCACAGATTCTGGCCATCATCCCATTACACAACTCTCTGTTAATATGATCCTTCTGAATCATTTTCTGTCCTGGCCCTTACTCCTTTCTCTCCTCCTTCATTAAAACAAAAAATCCATCCAACTATTCTTCCTTCTCATCTTCTCCCCTTCTGCTTGGCCTTTCCTGTCAGTTCGAGGTTCTGTTCCCTGTTCCTGTAAACCCCATCTGACGTCTAAAACAAACATAATCACACAATACTCTACGAAGCAGTCCTTCATTTTTTGTTCTTCAATTTTATTGAAAATATTCATTTACATGTATCAATCGTTGCAACCTAATAAATCTCTTTCTCTATTTGAAAACAAATAATGAAGATATAAAGCAAGACCATAATGAAGACACACATGATAAGAACATACAAGACACTTTACTGCTTTATGACATTAGGTATCATACAGTCTTTATTTCACATTACAGTCAAACCTGCTTTTATAGTGACCACCTGTATAGAAAGACCACCTGTCTACAAAGACCAAATTTTGTTGTTTCCCATGAAAATGTTTTTTCATTGAAACATGTACTAAAGGAACAAGTACATAAAGACCACCTGCCAATAAAGACCACTTTTTTTCTTGTCTCCCTTGGGTGGTCTTTATGGACAGGTTTCACTGTATCAGGCTCATTACAGGATCACAAGTATTATTTGTCCTTAACTAAAGCCTTCTATATTCAGTCTCTCCCTTCTCTTCATCTATCTTTCCTTTTGTTTTCCTTACTTTTTTACTTCTATTTTGACCCATATCTTTTCCTTTCTGTTCTCCATGCCTTCTACCCGGCTATGCTTTTTCTTCTTTCTTTTCCTTTGGACATAAAAGTAGTACTATATTAATCATGTTAATTATGATAACCATTTATCAGGTAAGACAAATTGTACAGTTTAGCCAAGGATACGACACAGATTTTCACTAAATATACCATTAAATAAGGCATTAGACATATTCTCAGTTGAGATCCAAAAGGACACTAAAGGGTAAGAGTTCACGCTCTTCCGTCTCTCAGCAAATAAGATTTGCTTTTGATCATAACCTGCAGAAACCCCAAATTTTCCTTCATTTTTGTGCTAGTCAAACCTGTCTATAAAGACAAGCTATTAAGGGGAACAGAAAAAGCTGCCGTCGTGGAAAGGTTGCCTTTCTAGACAGGTTCTACAAAAAAACAACTCTCTCTCTCTTCCTCCCTAGGGAGACAAAAAGCATGGCCATTATTTCGTCGCTGTTTTCACGAAGTGACGGTAGTGAAAAATAATTGCATTCACTTTGCGTTACGATTTTCCTCACTACCGTCACTTCGTGAAAACAAGGACGATTTGACAGATGGCCACTAAAACAGGTTTTACTGTCATTTTAAGAGAATGAAGATTCTTTATGCAGGGATGCTTATAACATATACAATTATATAAACCTATAAGTTGGCATAATGGTATGACTATTGCGTTAGATGTTTCTTGAAAAATTCACCTCAATCTGATTAATAAGTCTAGACTCTCTACATGTATTTGTAATTTATGAAACACCTATAACCTTGTAGAATTCAAGGGTCATGTGATTCTGACATCATGCAGTCAATCAATGGACACTCCACCAACAATAGGCTCTATGCGACTGCTGAACTTAGTATAAGTACAGTGAACCCTGCTCTAGCAACCATCTGTCTGAGGCTTGTTTCCCAGGAGTAGAGAGTACCATTAAAATACCAGCACTTGTGAAATGTACAGTAAATATCTGTGAATGACCAATCCCAGCTTGTTACACAACCACCATTCGATTTTCATGGTTTCAGACACAACTATAAATGATGCAGTTAATTGCAAACAGATGTTGTGGTACAGTGAAACCTCTCTATAAAGATCACTCAAGGGAGACAAGAAAAGTTGTCTTTATCGGCTTTATTGACTGTACAACTACAATATGATGTAAGTGCATTTCTGAATCCTTCATGCATAAGACACATAAATGTGAGAATGTTTAAGACTCCTCGGTTGCCTGGATCTCTTTTACCTCTCTTTTCTCACACCCTACCATTCATTTACATACAAAATGGTTTTATTCTGCAGCAGATATTTTTTTCTAACTCTCTGCTCACTCTGGTAGACTAATAGAACAAACATTGGAGTGCCGATGGCCTACATGTATATACTCCAAACAATGTACCATTCCAAGCTTTCGGTCCATGACAAATAAATAGAGTTGAAGCATTTTCAACATCACATGTGACTGAACTTCAGTTTAAGATAATCACTTCTTCTAGTTTGACACCGATAAGTCTTTGCCGGCTTTGGCAGAATAATAGAACAAATTTGGCTACCACAGTTGACTTATGTCACACCTACAGTATGACTGGAAAATAAAATCCAAACATTTGCATAATTCCAGTGTTTCAGTATGTGAAAAAAAGAAGAGTTGAAACGTTTACCACATCGCATGTGACTGGACCTAAGTTTAGGACGTTTACTTCTTTGAGTTTGACACAGAAAAGTTGTTCAAAAAAAATCCTTGCCTGCATTGGTAGACTACTAGAACAAAAATATGGCTACCACAGTTGACCTTTGTCACACCTACAATATGCATGGCCCATATACTCCAAACAATGTACCAATCCGTGCTTTTGGTCAATAAAAAATAAATAGAGTTGAAGCATTTACCACATCGCATGTGACTGAACCTTAGTTTAAAATATTCACTTCTTAGAGTTTGACACCAAGAAAAGTTCTTTAAAAAAATAGAATCTTTGCCTGCTTTGGTAGATTAATAGAACAAATTTGGCTACCACAGTTTGTCACACCTACATTATGACTGGAAAATAAACTCCAAACAATGCACCATTCCAGTGTTTCAGTATGTGAAAAAGAGAGTTGAATCGTTTTAATACCACATCACATATGACTGGACCTTAGTTTAGGACATTCACTTCTTAGAGTTTGACACCAAGAAAATTCTTTAAAAAAATAGAATCTTTGCCCTCTTTGGTAGATTAATAGACAAACAATGGAGTGCTGCAGTTGACTTTTGTCACACCTAAAATATGACTGGAAAATATACTCCAAACAATATATCATTCCAGTCTGTAAAAAATAGAGTTGAAAGTACATTTACCACCTAACATGTGACTGGACCTTAGTTTAGGACGTTCACTTCTTTGAGTTTGACACCAAGAAAATTTCTTTAACAAACAAAATTCCTTGCCTGCTTTGGTAGAATAATAGAACAAACAATAGAGTGCTGCAATTAACTTTTGTCACACTTACAATATGACTAGCAAACGTACTTCAAACAATGCATCACTTCAGTGTTTCAGTCTACGACAAGTTGAGTTGAAGCATTTACTACATCACATGTAACTGAACCTTAGTTTAAGACATTCATTTCTTTGAGTTTGACACCAAGAAAAGTTGCCTGCTTTGGTAGAATAATAGAACAAATTTGGCTATCACAGTTGACTTTTGTCACATCTACAATACGGCTAGAAAATATACTTCAAACAATGCATCATTCCAGCGTTTCAGTCTGAAAATACAGTTGAAAGTACATTTACCACATAACATGTGACTGGACCTTAGTTTTGGACGTTCACTTCTTTGAGTTTGACACTGAGAAGAGTTCTTGTGGAAGAGGGGTGCTCTTCTGAGTGAAGTGAGCTGGGATCCTTCCATTCTCGGCCAGGGTAGAAGAGGGTATGAAGAGCAGAGGGACAAAGGTCACTTTGCCGCTATGCCAGCACTGTAAGAAATTAAAAGGGCAAAGATTGTGGATGAGATAGGGGAGCTGTAGAATTTTATGAAAAAAATTGTAATTTTAGTAACTAATAATTCAGCTGCTGTAATACTGATTAATTTTCTGAGATTTCTCACAACCTTATACTTACGAATCAATACTTAGAACTGCAACAAGGTTAGAGGTGTCATGGTCGAGTGGATATGTCACCGGACTGTCGATCACAAAGTCCGGGTTCGAGTCACGCCGCGGCACTAATGTCCTTTGTCCGAGATAATGATCTACATTTGCGACACTCAACCCAGTCGATGTAAATGGGTACCTGGCAGGAATTAATTCCTTGAAATGCTAGAGCGCCGTAATGGTAGCCATGCTAAAGCACCAGGAGTGTCAAATCTGACAGACATGAGCGCTATACAAGAACCCACTATCATTATACAGTACACTTATTATAACTCTGTTAACTCTGACATTCTGTATCTTAAATGTGGTGTTCCGCAGGGATCCATCCTGGGCCCATTATTATTTCTTATTTATATCAATGATATTTGTAATGTATCTAAAACTTTAAATTATACCTTATTTGCAGATGATACGAGTGTTTTCTTGTCTCATCGTGAAATCAACACTCTAGAACAGAAACTAAATTCGGAACTGCCAAAGTTGACTTTATGGTTTAGAAGTAATGTGCTCTCTCTCAATGTTCTTAAAACAAATTATATTCATTTTAGAGGTAGAAAATCTAATGACAACCTTGCTCTTAATATTAAACTAGATGATATTTCTTTAGAGAGAAAGACATGTACGAAATTCCTTGGTGTCTATATCAATGAAAAACTTGACTGGAGCGACCATGTAAAACACATTGTTACACCAATCTCCAGAAATATTGGCGTACTGTATAGAATAAAATGTTTTGTTTCTGATAGAATATTACTTATGCTATATAATAGTCTAATTTTACCACACATTTCTTATTGTAATATTTTGTGGGCAACATCCAAGTGTGTGACTAATAATATTCTTCTGTTACAAAAGAAAGCTGTACGCATATGTACCCGAGCTGGTTATCGTGACCATGCTACCCCACTATTTGTTAAACTGAAATGCTTAAAGATTGATGATATTAACTTCCTCCAAATTGCCATATTTATGTTCCGTTTTAATATCAAATTATTACCTACGTCATTATCTTCAATGTTCCAACCTAATAACATGGTTCATTCGTATTCAACAAGGCAGTCATCGAATTTACATGTGGTCAATCCTCACACTACATTAGCCCAGAAATCAATCAGACACAGAGGTCCAGATGTATGGAATTCTTTACCTAATGATATTCGAAATATAAAATCAACAAACTCTTTTAAAAGAGCACTCATGTGTATTATCATTTCACAGATGTAAGATATTACTTACATTATAATCTATTTATCAGTTCTAATTAAATGTAACATAATTTTGTTACTAGGCCTAACGAATTTTTTTTTTCTTTTTCTTTCTTTTTTTAAAACTTTGTAAATAGTGTAAATAGTTCACTACAAAACTTTAGGAATTTTATTTGTCATATACTATATATTTGAAAGGTGTTGTAACGATTCAAGCTCTATTTGCTTATGTTTCATCACCTTTGTGTGTTCATTCTTCAAACTGTATATAAGTTGCAACTTGTCTTTGATAAAACAATGTTATATTCTTTTTCACGTGAAGTTAATTCAAATGTATTGTAAAATTGAAAATGATTTGTCATCTTATATTAATTTTCATGTGATGTTAACTTCATTGAATTGTGAAATTGTGAACATGCATAAATAAATAAAATAAATAAAAAAATTATTATTATTATAAAAAATAATGAGAAAATGGGACTGAAATCCATCCTCCTCCCGCACATACATGTAACATTGCAAGCTTAAATAAATGTAATGTAAGCTTCATGTACTTACGATTGTGAGAAGGGCACCATGATTGAAGTTTGGTTTGAAGGAGATCAGCTCTGGAACCTCTCCTGGCTCACCTCGTACAAAACCACTAGAGAATAAAAAAAGAGGTACAGCTACATGAATAAAATAGTACGCCTGGGAAGTTTCGAGGATAAGAATCTTCTGTATAATATCACTACTACAGCAGCAATGACATTACAAATAGCTTGATTGATGGTGGCTGTACGCTTCTCTCTTCAAGCATCTTTGAGTACAACATTATTTTAGAAGTTTGCCTTTTCCACAAGTTCACCCTATGTGATGTGTACATATAGTCTACATGTACCTTGGAATGACTTGCAGAATTTTTACACAGGTGAAAATATGGCGTATGTATTTCAGAAAGCCAAGAGTATTACAGTTTTCTAATTTTTGTTAGCTTTCTTTAAAGAGAAGAACATGTACAAAATCAATGTCCCTTGCATTTTCTTAAATTCCTTTTTTTTTTATAACTCTGTATTTAAAAACCACTCTACACCACACAGCTATATCCTTTAATGAGGAGAATGATAAACACCTTTAGTGTTAGTCTAGCATTCAGTGTACAATCTAAATGTACAGCGCTACATCTTTACCTGGGAATGAGTTGCAGAGTGGGTGTTAATCTGGTGTTGAATAGGGCTATGAGTTCACCGGTATTGCCCGTTTCCTTATTGCTTTTGAAGAGAACAGCCAACCTCTCTCCGGTGTTATCCCATACCATGTCTTGGATCAAACCACCAACCCTGTACAAGAAAGAGAGAGCAAGAGCGAGAGAGAGAGAGAGAGAGAGAGATAGAGAGAGAGAGAGAGAGAGAGAGATAAAGAGAGAGAGAGAGAGGGGGAGACAGACAGACGGTGACAGAGAGAGAAAAAGAGAGACAAAGACAGACCAGGAGGGAGAAGTAAATCAGAAATCATCCATTTAGTGGCCTTTTAATAATAACAGGCAACACTCCAAGGCTTAAATATCAAACAAACGTGTATCACTTTAAAATCATGATACTACTTTTATGTTGTTAATATTTTTACAGGCTTACAGCATGTTATAATTGTATTAACTAGCTGAACATTCCCTAGCATCCACTTCGCAGTTTGTGAGTCATCCCTGAGCATTGACAAAATATGGGTATCATCAGCGAGAATACACATAAGAACAGATTAACTCACTGATTTTGATTACCGGTAGTACAATTATAGGGTAAAAGAATTCATAATCACAAAAGACAGGCAATAGACATACAGAAAACAACATATTCATGGACGTATTTCAGCAACACCAGTTGTTAATTATTTTGGTGTTTTGCTTGCACAAACATCCCCCCCCCCCTGACACTTCATACTTAATCACAAACAGGTGTTCCCACAAGAGAAATACTCGTTTTTCACCTCGTTCCATATATCTCATCCTTAATGAAGAGTTCCGAGACATCAGCACACTTGATGGCCGACTCGGCCCCGCCAGTCTTACTCCCGCTGTGGATGAAGTTCAGAGCGAAGATGGCTGGCTCATCCTCTGTACAGAACAGGAGGAACCGCCCGTCGGGGCTCCAGCAGGCGCTCTTGCATCGACCAGAGAGCTGCGTCCACTTCTCGCACGTCCAGGTTCTTGTCTCCCAAACTCTAGAGGAAGACAGATTAAAGAATACAGACCAGGACCAATTAAAGGCTAAAGTCGTTGTTGTTGTTTTTATTTCTGAAATCAGATAAAATGTTGTACACAGTATACACAACTATACAAAAAGAAAAATTAATACATGTACATAGATAAAAATCGGAGGAAAGCCCAATTTAGCAATGTTTATAGAACATTACCATTTTTTCTTTGGGGTCATTAAAGTCTGTCCAAACACCTAATTCTTTCAAATTTTCTAGCACTTCCTGAATACTTGTGAAGGAGAGGAGGCAAAAGCTTGGAGCTATCTGGTGAGTATCTCAGGAGGGCCAATTAGGAAGTGTGAATCAGGATTTTCCTTTTTCCTAAACAATATTCTTAATCAACTTGCAAGAGAGATAATATCACCACCTTGTTTCACTATTTATTTCTTTAAAGTCTAGCCCATCAGTTAGTAGTCCAATCATTATCTTCTTCTTCTCCTTCTTCAAGATAATCTGCCTCCTTCAATACTGAAGATTCTTGCAGATGCCGTAGACTGACTGGGGTGTGCAGGTGGACCACTTCACCGGGGTTTCTCCCTACTCTCCTCACTTCTGTCTTTTAATCTTCAGAAAATCCCAGTATGTTTACAGAATAATATTTTCCTTTCAACCAAGTTTTAGCTATTTCCTATATTTTCTCACTTCTGAACAAAGCTAAATAAGCTTCAATGCAGCGTGGGCAATAATTTTAAAGCCCAAGGATCTTATTCTGTCACATTTTCAAGTGCTTACCTGAATACCTGTGAAGGAGAGGAGGCAAAGAGCTTGGAGCTATCTGGGGAGTACCTCAGCAGGGCCACGCCCCCTCCACTGGTCCTCTTCAAGGGCACACATGCTTCCCTGGGGACATCCCACACCTAGAATAAAAAAAGGAAATCGACCCCAGTTTAAGGTCATCTTGAGTTCTGGTTTAGTTGGGATTTGGGAAATGAAATTTCAAAAAATTAAACAAAACGTACACTGACTGTTCATTCCAATAACAATAAATATTTCAGGCCACCCATTGCCTAGGGAACCAAGTTGTCCCTGTCTTAAAGGCTGTTTGTACTAGTTTGGCTAGGAGGGATTAGACCATCCAGAGTGGTCACTGACAGATGGCTATCTCATCAACTCAGAAAAAGAGGATCATGGGGGACTCATGGTCACTGATTAGGCATTGTTTTCTATATAGAGGGAGTAAGTAGCTACAAGTAATACAGTGGGGCTTTAAGTCTATGGGAAGAAGAGAATGTATTTAATAGTCAATGGGTTCAAATGCAATTTCGTGTACATAATACAGATTGGCATTGAGTGAAGAAAGAGGAAATTGGATCTAGTCATCCCAAATGCACCTCAAGCAATAGAACAGGCAGCTTCAGTGAAGGTGAGTTGTAGCAATATTACAATATTTTGATTACATTCTGTCGTTCCAAACCACAAATTACTGGAGTAGAAAGGATTTAAAATTTAATTCACAGTATCCACAGTAACTTACCAGTATGGCTGTATCTCTTGGAGATGAAGAAACTAGAAGACGCCCTCTAGGGTCCCAACTTAGACAGGTTATCGGTGCATGACCATTGTGGGAAAGAACTTGGGCTGCACTGGCAGTTGGCCTGTAAAACAAGCATAAATCACAACCAAATCAAATTGTGAGGTAAACTATTGAGCACCTTGTGACATATATTATGTTTGGAACCAAGCCACTAGTACAAGAAAAAGAGAAATTTTATTCTGTATTACTTTGAATTTCTACCAAAAGATGCAATTTTCAATATGAGAAGATTTTAAATTGCTCTCTGTAAAATGTTGTTTAAACAATCAACAATTCTGTATGTCATATATTTATAGAATTTACTGTACATTTATAAAATCAGGAATCCTTTTTTCAAATAAAAAGTATTGTTACATGGTACATAATGGCCCGAATTCACAAAGCAAGGTTTGAGCTCAGACCAAGGTTTGAGCTCAAACCTCCTTTTGTTTCGCCAAACCTCCTTTTGTTCTTTACAAACCAGGTTTGTAAAAAACGCGTAAAACGCGTCATATGACGTACGAAAACCAAGGTTTGTCGACAAACCTCCTTTGTGAATTCGGGCCGATGGGTTGGAGTCTACATAAACTGTTTAGAGAATTTTGTACATATCAACTATCCATAGAATTAACAGTATACCAATAATTCTAGATTCCAATAAACTTACCTGGTAGATAATGAGTTGGGGTCTATATGCCAGATGAGTATGCAACCACGACAACCGACAGCCAATACCGTTGCAGACAGGGGTTTCCATGCCAGGCAAGACACACCCCGCTGTTGTCTGTGCTTCAGTGTTGGAACTACATCACTGGTAAGGGGGAGGGGGGAAATCAACCAACAATTACCCCTAGGAATGTGGACATTCTTCAAAACTAAACATTAATATATAAGCGAGACTTTAAAGCTTCTTTGAAGAGATGGTTCACCTGACATTATTAGATGGTGATGACTTAAAACCGATCACAAAAGAAGAGAGTTACTATAACTGTACGCCGACCTGCATTCAGAAATATATATGAACATCCCAAAAATCGGTTCGAGAGGAACTCGCAATGACAGGTGTCATAACTGTAATATAGTGAATGAATAAAACAATGATGGAAAAGATAATAAATTATTAAAACAAACACATACATGTAGATTGCAATACACACTGTGCTCATGCATCCAAAGGACAGTGATATTATCAGGAGAAGTACATAAAAAATAAAGAGGGAAAGAGAAGAAAAAAGAAATTGAGAGTCTTTCGTTGAAACCAGAGACAAAAATATATATATACCTTCCTGATATGAAGATTTTGATTGTGTTATCCTTCCATGCTACAGCACACTTGTTGGTATGTTGGTGCCATGCAAACGCTCTGATCTCACTGTCCTGCCAATCCTTAGCTGCACTGAACTCATGGATCATCTCTTCAGGAGAGAGCTACAGAAAGAAAGTGAGAGAGAGAGAGGGTATTAATGACCATGAGCTGTATTTCATAACTCGACCTAATTTTGGAGATGAAATAATGGGGCGGGGGGGGGGGGGGGTGTGAAGAGAGTACATGTACATGGTCGCCATAATACAAATATTGATAACATAAACTGAAACATAAAGGGAGATCACAATAGGACTGAGAGAGAATGAAAAACAGAAAGAAAAAGACGGATAGAATGAGAGATAGAGAGAGAGAGAGAGAGCGAGATAGATTGTAGTTTGGTTCAATAACACTTAATTCAGAGCCCTAAAGATGACCAGATGAAAGAGCATAAAGAGCACACATATCTGAACACAGTCCATTTTTTTAAATAGTTTCCAGTTTACCACACCAGAAATTTTAAAGAGGAAAAAAGATAATAATACCGGTAATTAAAATTGTTTGAATTGGAAACACATTGAAAAGTTCATCACTATATTTCAAATTGCTATTCTACAAAACATTAATAAGTTTAAAAATCATGTATTTTTAATTCAAAGTGGCATTTTTGTTCACATATACTGTGATCCCTGTCCATAGCATTCTGTCGGGACACAAAACTATACATTTGACCTGTTGAACAATAAAAGACAAAATACCAGTGTTGCCAATTTGAAGAAAGCTGATCAATTAACAAATCCTGTTCTGAACGAGTTGAAATACCTTACCATCAAGTGAGGATAGAGCGAGCCTCTGAATAAATTGACCATGGTCACAGTAGTAAGACATCCACAGGCAAGCGTGGTAACAGGCCAGGGAGCTAGTTAGGATGAAAGGAAAGGTAAAATGGTATGATGTCCAAGATTGAATTTCAAAATTGTGTAAAATATCTTATTGGACAATTTTTAAATTTAAAGACATAGGTTAAAGCTTGAGATGTAAAGCATAATGACAGCTGTGTATGAGGTTGTATGACACATGCTCCTGCAACCATTCCTCTGTGAAAAATCCTCAAGCTATCAAATTCTTAATATCAATTGTCACCAACACAAATGTCGGATAGACAACTGTCGGTACCTTTTACACTTTATTATTAAAAGCTTTATACAGGAAGAAAAAGAAAAAGAAACCCAAATGAAACCAAAACAAAACAAAAGATACCCAAGGGGTCCCTTTACAAATAAATATCTTTAAAGTTTGAACATTGGAATAACCATCTTGGCCAAGGATTGTTTTCACATCTTGTTCATCTAATATTACACTAAATGAGGTAAATAAATTAGAGGATTGTTTAAATCTTGCTACTTTATCAACTAAAATCAAACAACAAGAAAATTGTCTAAGGCCTTATAAATATTATGAATAAATACATAAAAATCACATATAAAAATACAACAGCAAGACATCCCCTTACCTGTCTCATTTTTGGAGAGTTCATCCAGCATCTCGGTCAGGCCATGAACCCTGCAGGTATACCAGGCTTGTTTCCATAGCGACACCTCATCCACGTGAGGCTGGAACGCCGACTGGGCTGCCTCATCTGACGCCAGAGAGCAGAGACTCTCGGTCGAGGTACTGATGCTGGGGTACTCAAAGCCCTAGGGATAATAATGGATAAAACATAAAAATAATATTTAGGACAAGATATTAAAGAGCATATCCAAAGTATTTTGTCTAATTAATAACTCACTACATTGAATTGTAACAGTCACCTAAAAATATGATTTACGTACAGCGAGGATGTATAAAATAAGCCCCCCAAAACCCTTCACTCTGCATTCTACGGGATAACGGATTAGGAGTATGAGGAAAATGTAGAATAATATAAAACTGCGTACACATACCGGTACCCTAAGTCGAACTTGGGTTCTGTGCGGGCCCTTATTTATGCAGGGGCATACATGTGTGCCGAGTACAAGTAGTCTACCCACAAATCGCTTTTATGTCAATTGAGAGTGTACTTAGACTTGCAAATCTATATTTGAAGCTTATATTTTGAATAGAGTATTACCACATATAATTACAAACGTACAGAACAAAATACTTTTTGGTGATTAGTACACTTTATTAAACCCAATGACTACCGGTACTGAATTCTTTCATTACTAAAAACTTTATAGTGATACAGGAACAAAAATGTAAAAAGAAGCAAAAAAAAAAGAAGCAAAACAAGCCTAATGAAATCAAAACAAAACAAAGTTTAAAAAAAAACATCCCAATGAAAATTAGGGTCCATTAACAGATAACAATTTAAAAAACTTTGAAAGTCAAACTTTTGATTCTAATACAAAACCTTTACCTCCAAGAGTATCAGTTGTTCTGCTTTAGCCTTCATAAGCGATGAGCCCTGGCTTTACCTTTCTGATTCATAGGGTTACAACCGGGTCAAATGATAAACGCTGCAATCAAAAGTTAAACTTTCAAATATATGTATCATCAAAACAGATGAACTTTAATGAAAAAGTTTTATATGTATGCCCCACATTTTTTATTAGCATCCTAACTCTACTTACAGCAATCCTTGGTGTGTAGTTCACAGGGGCATTCCTGGCCTGAATGGTGACCAAATCTCCATTCTCTTCACAAACTGTAATACAGCCTTCTGCAGGCGGGGGTGGTCCCTCAGCAAGTGAGCACATGGTGACAGTCTCTCTTCTGAAATGTTGTTTTGGGAAATAAGGAAAAATAACAATTCACTGAAATTCTTTTTTTTTCTTAAAAAAAAAGGACATTGACCGCTGAATTTAGCGAACGTTCAACATAGCGATCAGAAGGTACGCATGTGCGGCAGTGGCGAAGAAAATATGAATATTCATGCTATCGAGCGCCGATCGCTCGAAATCGCTGAATATGCACGAGGTTGAGAAGGGCTTTGTTCGTTCGAGTCGTGCATATTCAGCAATTTCGAGCAATCGGCGCTCGATAGCATGAATATTCATATTTTCTTCGCCACTGTCGCGCATGCGTACCTTCTCATCGCTATTTTGAATCAATGCTGTGACATGGAAGAATCGTTGGTGTAGCACCCCGAATTAACCCTTTTTTCCCATCGAAGACTTCTTCAAATTATAGGCTACATTCAAGTGATTGGAGTTGAGCCCTGAGGAGTCGTGCACCCTATGATGTAAAAATTGTAAGTACTCCTTTTGCAGATTTAACGATAATATCACCCAATCGGCTGTTTTACTAGCCCCCGTGAGAAACCAACAAAACCACCCGAAGCTCCGACGCCTGCGGCGCCGGTGTTGGAGCTTCCCGGAGCCGAGTTAGATCTACTCTAGACCAACATAACAACTTTTAACTCATGATCTTTATTTAAACATTTGATGAATATTTACTTCATTTTGGGTATGTTTTAGTGGGGTATCTCCACGCCGGAGTTACGGGTCAAATTTTGGAGAGGTTTCTGAACAAGCGCCCAATACAAGGCAATACTATACACAATCACGGGCAGGTTAGGCAGACTGACGCCAAAACATACAAGTGGGACTGTACAACGGCAATTCTTCTAAATTCAAACCCCCAAACTGCTTCATTCTCAATCTCATTATGGAATTTCAAACTGTCAAAACGTTTAATCTGTCAAAAATGAACTCATATCTCTCTGGAAATGTGAAAATGAAATAATATTACCTGTAATTTAGGATTAGAGAAAAAGGAGTCTAAATGGTTCGCATTCAACTTGGGCGCTGAAAAAATAAAGTTGCGGATTAATATTTGAATCCAAAATTATTAGCGCGTTTAAGAGTTATATAATGCGATAACTATTTATTTTTATCAATTATTTATCCAACAAAAATAATAAATATTATCGATTTTTGTAATGGCTATAATGAATATATTTTTTTAATTCAAAACCACAATTGAATGTTAAAAGATATTAATTTGATAGTACATCTAGAATCAAATTGGCAGTATAATGCGATTTGAAATATTGAGCTAAAATAGTCTGCACCATTTAATTTATTCGCCTTGTTCTTCATCATTAAATTTCAAATATATTGTAAAATTATAAAAAAGCAAATTATGAATTAACATGAATTGTAAAAATGTATTTCTTTAAAGCAAATATTATTTTGGCTTATACAAATTCGAAAAACTTTTAATATAAACCATTTTAGTGAAAATAATAACCACAGCATATATCTGCTTTATTGTTTCCTTTTTTGCGATTGAGCAATTCGATAAACCAAAACAAAGTAGATTCTAGAGTCGAGCGCTGATCCGGTAGTCCTTGTTGTAGTTGTACCAAACCAGAGCCAGAGAAAGGTGAACGATTTTTGCTTTTGGTCCCTCAAATTTAGTGTAGCACCTTACATGTTTATGCTTGTTGTTATGAATATGGGAATTGAGAGTTAGACTGAAGTGAGTTGCGTCTGAATGTGTTCTGAGCTGACTGAGCTGAGCCGACTCTGCAGCTGAAGTGAATGATTAATGTCTGTGACTCTGAGTCTGATTCTGAATGTGTGTGGGATTCCCCAACTAAAGTCTAAAGTTCGACGTGTTAATTGTTCAACTGATTTTAATTTTAACACATCTTAGTTGTTTATTGGCTGCCTTAAAACAACTGAAGCCATGCCAGTGAGTACTGTGTCACATAGATTGTACTTTGAGTTGAGAATAAAAATAGCATGAATATAAATGATAGAAATTTAGAATTTGATGGGATGCCGGATGGGAGGAAGAGAAGGAAAGGAAGAAGATTTAAGAGGGAGTAATACTAATAGCCTAGGAATAGTAGGAGCAAAATAAAGAGGAGCTGGATGCAGCGGCTGCATGAATGCTGACACAATTCGGTAAAGCATGTAGGCTAGGCCTAGAGGATCTATACTGTACAAACTGTTGTTGGCATTGCGCAGCCTTAGCTCCCCTTTACTGGTCTATCATGTTGTTGAACTTGACTTTTACTTGTTTTATTGATAATTATCCCTTTATTCACTCTACTGTTTCCTTTACATGTACCTATGTTTTATTCTGTATGTTTTCCTTTAATTGATACAGGTCTAATGCTTAATTTGTTTTGTTTTGTAATTGCATCATTGAACATTGTTGTTCCTAAATTTCTTTTCTTGTTCTGTTTGTTTTCCCTTGTCTATTTTTATTTATTTTTCTCTCTTTTCAGTTAAGGATTTTTTGTGTGTTCCTGCTGATAATGTTCTTCAACTCTGTTCTTCTATTTCTGCAGATTAATTCCTAGTTAAAAGATGGTTACTCTGGTACTAGTGAAACAACTACCAGTACTAATTTTTTTCTCTTAAATTGGTTTCTTGTTAGTCATTAGTAGGCCTACACCTACAGTCAGCGTATAAGTATCAGGTACATGTAGGTAGATCTGTTTTGAACTAGTAAGACGTCTGCTAAAATATAATTCACACCTTATGCTAGTTTCTAACACGGTATATTTTTATATTTGTGTACAGTGATCCACCTATTAAACTGCAGCTCAAAACTAGAGGAATGATCAACCGGATCTACAAGCGTTGTGCTGGCTTCATGAAGCGAATAATCTGAGTCATACATGTACGTGTACGTGGCCGATCATATATATGTACAGCAAGACAAGCAAAGAGGCTTCAATTTTGAGTGACAGAAGAAAACCTTAGGAGACCTAGCTCCGTGATGGCTGCCCTTCAAACAGAGTATCGACGATTGGAGACAGTAGAGGATGATCCGCCAGAGGACCAAGACGTCATGCTGCATGTTGTTCACGATTCTGGAAGAGGTGATTTACCCAAATGAACTTTTTTTTTTAAATTTTATTTTTAGAAACGTTATTCCACAATGTCAAGCTTCAGAATTCACTCACATTAGGGGAAAAGAGCTTCTTTAGTTTAGTTTAGAAATACATGTATGATATATAATTTTTAGCTGTTTTTTGGTTGTTTGTTTAAAGATATACAGTATTAAACTTTCTATTGAATTCAGATAGATGCATGGCACTTAAAAAATTAGTGAACTTTAAGGTTGTAACAGGTTCAGTTTACATGGCAATAATGTGTCTTTATGAATTTAAGTCACTTGATTTGAATCAGATGTAGCCTTGGTGCATTGTAAATATGTGTATATCTGTTGAGTTTTTATAACACTTGTTTGAGATCAAACATATACAGTTGTAATTAATCTCTCTTTCTCTCTCTCTCTCTCTTATCACCACAGCACGCTGGAATCACATAGAGAATCTAGATGAATTCTTCACAAGAATATCCTTTGCAAGAATTTTGTTTGTTTGAAGGGAAATGTAGACATTTATCTGAATTCATAGAGTTTTACAATTCAGCAGTTCACAATGTGAATTTAGTCCAGTATAATGACTTTGATGACAGATGACTGATGTTTAGTTGTGGAATGCACTTTTGTTTAAATCTGTAATTCACAGTTTTGGACAAGCTGTAGGCAAGACCATACATAATATTTATCCTTATTTTTAAAATCCTAAAACATTTAAAAGACTGCAGGCAAATTACTTTGTATCTCTCCTATTTATTGGGTTTCTAAGAAAATAATTTATTTTTCATAAATGTTAAATAAACATGAAGGAAAAAGTGGAGTTTGATCTTTGAAAGTTGGACTGTACATATAGATATACAACATATACTGTATGTGTACTTACATTTTTTTGGTAGCTAAATACATAAATTTCTTGTTTTTTCTTGTTGTCGCATGGTAGCATTACCAGCGAGTTCCAAGATTTTGGCAATCAGGTACTCTTGGCCGCCGACCCTCTACAAATACATATATATGTTTGTGTAGCGGATTATGGGCATTTGTTACCATAGTATATCTTTCATAAATACATTCCAAATATATCTATTAATCCTTGACGGTATTATTCACGTCTATCATTATCATCAGAAGCATGGGTACCTGTGTATGATGCTTGCCCAACTGCTGGAACTAGTGTAAGTACAAGGAAAGTCAAACCTGTGTAGAAAGACCCCTATTTTCTATGTATGGAAAGGTGAATACAGGCGGTCTTTATATATAAACACAGGGCCCTGGGCCCGTATTCAATTCAATACTTAAGTACAAAATTTAAACTTTTTACTTAGTATTTGGCTTAGATAAAATACTTAGCCAATTTTGGTATTCAATTCACACTTTTGGCTAAGTATTTTACTCTAAATCTAAGCCACCTCCATACCAGACTTCAGCCAATTATTTGGAGGCCTTGTTTGGCAGGCATATGGTTTTCTTACGCAGTATTATAACATGCGCACAATTATATCAGCACACATTTATTGCAATGCATCAATTGCGCATTACTTTTGATTGACTGTGTGACGTCATAATGCTTATCGGTAAGTACTTTACTTAGATTTTGTCTTACGTAAGTATAAGTCTAAAATGTGATTTGAATACGAGATAAGTAAATTACTTAACTTAGCCATTTACTTAGTAAATTTCTTACCTATTCTAAGTATTGAATTGAATACCGGCCCTGGGGGGTGTTTCACAAAGATCCTAAGTAGAACTTAACACTTAGTTGGACTTAAAAAATATGGACAGCCATTGGAGCCTTAAAATGAAATATATTCAAAAGCAAAAATTAAATTATTTTAGACTTTTTTATAAAATCCACATCAAGAACATGAAATCTCCTTGATGATAGAAAATATGAATGATTTGAATCAACATTTTATGCCTTTCAAAATAACTTTTACAAAATATTTTCAAAGATGCTAATGGCTTTCCATAATTTTTAAGTCCAACTTAGAGATAAGCTCAACTTAGAATCTTTGTGAAACACCCCCCTGGTCTTTATTGGCAGGTGATTTACAGGTGGATGCAATGTCAGGTTTGAAGGGGCAATCTTCACACAGTTCAGTCATGCTCTGATATTTTGTTTGAATACGTATCCAAATATTTGGGTGATATTCATGTGACTTAGGCTTACTGAAAAATTGTAACATGATTTTGACTAGTATTTTTCTAAAAAAAAAAAAAACTTTTCTTTGGCTTTTCAGCTACTGTAGGTCATGCTTCTAGATCAAATCTCAAAATTCTCTTGGTTTTCTAATCATTTATATATTTAAAAGATAATTGTATATATTCATTTTGTAATAAATTTCTATATTGTAACTCGTAGCATTCTTCATACATGTATCACCACATAATTATCAATCTTTTCTTTTTTCAGGCAATTTCTGTTCATCATCTTCTTCTCCCTCTTCTTGCTGCAATGTGTCGACTACTCTGTTCTGTTTCAAGATGACAAGACCACCACAGGGACAAAGGTCACCATTCCAGATGCCATTATACCCCTAGAACAATGTGCCAAGAAGTGAGTATTCTGAAATATACCAGTCTCTCTGAGACCCACTTTCATGCACTATGAATTTACTTGTACGTACATGGAGGGAGGTATGGTGTGTATGAAAACAAATATATAATAATAATTTATTTTTTTAAACACGGAAAGCTTAGTTTAGGGCTTTGTCTTTCGGTGTGTTGAAATGTTCATCAAATTTACTGTGACCTAGATCTGTCCACAACCCACTTCCAGCAAAATGTCATAATCTACATGTACTGTACATTAAGTATTAGAATTGCAAATTAAAGTGTACTATTGCAAAATGGATTAAATTATGGATTTGGTGTTTTGTGCTTGAGCAGTGCAATTTTCTTGCATGCAAACTGTCATTTTATGGTATTATACATTTTGTAATATCTGCCCGAGAAACATGTGTTTCCAGTTGTCTGTGTGTGTCAGATATGGCTTCTACTCATTGAGGTGATCTTGTATGTACACATGTACCTGAAACAATGAAGTTAAAGAGGAAATTCAATATTTTGTTAACCTGTTGAATTTTGCATTAGAGGGCTACCATATTTTTCTTTGTAACGCCCTTTTGTGTCGGGGGAAAAAACAGGCGGGGAGATGACAATGACATTGTACCCTGTATTTCATGCATAACCACTGTACTATTACATGGTATTAATCCTGTGCAATGAGATTTGTTGTGGTTGGTTTAATTGTGCTCTTACATGTACTTGCTCAGGCTGAAACTATGATAGCCTTGAATGGCATTTTGATTTTGTTTTAAATTTTTACTCTAGTGGGGATCTTTACAGGTGACTGTAATAAAACTAATTGTAAAAGCCTGGAATGAATGCAGACACCTTAATATGGATGCATACATTTACATGTGTAGATGATATAGATATACCAGTATGTGCTCATGGTAGGACATTGTGCTACAGAAAAAATCTGTACATAATCATGGAGGGATCGAATGATTAGATTTGGGAATTCAGAGGTCGAAAGTCAAAGGTCACAGGGTCATAAAAGTAGGGCATTATCATTTCTTATCTTCACATTTTATTGCAGTCCTTCGAGTGTGATTGTGATCTGTCTGATCATCGCTGGTATCTTCTGGCTTCATCGTCTGCTGAGGGTCCTCTATAACGCATTCCACTTCTGGGAGATCAGAGCATTCTATACGAGAGCACTCAAAATCCCGTCTGTGAGTATGACATCCTCAGACCATGTACAGTAGTACTGTATGTCATTGTAAGGGTCGTTCATTTCTAGATGTGGTGTAAAAGTCTATTGAAATTGCCCCTAGCTTGATTTCTTGAAAGTCTTTGCAACCTTTTTTGTGTAATGTGTCCCATACTACTATATGACTCTTATTCATTTATTAATTTATTTTATGCAAACTTGAAAGTCATGTGATTTCAACATGGATAAATTGTTCTTACTGGTATCACTACTAGCATGATTAATGTGTCATACAGTACATGAATCAAGATATTTGTTATTATTGTTTTGAAACAAAATTGGAAAAGGACATATATGACGTACAGGACATATTGCACACCATTTGTTATTAACATTTATCCCTTGCAAACTTTGGTTTCTGGTGCCCCTGCAGGAATGGTGGGTGAACCGACAAAAATATTACCCAGCCTAACAATTGTTGAGAGGAGTCAACTATCTGTATCTAGAGCAGAAAGAAGCTTCATGTTTAAGATGACTCTTGTCATGATTGCTTGTGGTATTAAAGGGATCCGGTAACTTTGTCTTAGATCCTTTAGAAATAATCCTTGATTTAGCTCATGCTGCAATGATAATTATAAATCTTTAGGTCAGTCAGGAACTCCATGACTTTCACAAGCCGATCGCCTGTCTGATTATCAAGATATTAATGATTGGAATTACAAATAACACTACAGTCTATTGGGGAAAACCAGTATGGTAAAACCGGTCACTCAAAGTTTTTTACTTTTTTGAGGCACTTCTAGATCATTTTGAAGCACAATTTTTTTAGGGCTTCAATATTACACCATATCACAGACACTGGTAACATGTAGGACCGTGTATCTCAGATTTAACATTGTTAAACGATCCCTTTAAGCATAACATGGTGATTAACTTAAAGGCCATCTGTACTAGTTTGGCTAAGAGGGATTAGACCATCCAGGGTGGTCACTGACAGGTGGCTATCTCATCAACTCAGCTCTCAATTAACATAAGAAAAAGAGGATTATGGGGGACTTATGGTCACTGATTAGTCATTGTTTTCTATATAGAGGGAGCAAGTAGATACAAGTAGTACAGTGGGGATTTAACCCTTACTGTACTGGGCTATTTCGAGCACTCTCTGACTGGGGAGGGGGGGGGGGGCCTGGGAGGCCCCCCCTTCCCTATGATCTCGGCCGCCGAATGTCTGATGACCGCGAAAATTTGCATGTTTGTAGATATTTACGTAAGGAACAAGATCGTATAATTAATTTTTTCCTATTATGCAAATTTTTGTCGTTATAGCCTAATTAATTATGCAAAATGCTAATTTTATGCATTTTACAGAAAACTCTACATATTTGTCCATAGACTTGTGAAGAATCTTGAAAATGTATTGAATAAATGTTTCCTTCATCTCAAATTCATGAGGTTTCATTATTTTTATGATATTTGAAAATGCATAGGTTAATTTGCATAAATTATGAATACGCATTCATGAATATCAAATCTGGAAATATATTTAGGGAATTAAAATCATTACATAAATTGTCAGACTCCACTTTTTGAATGTTGAAACTCATCATTCATATGAAACTTCTTTTCTAACAAAATATAGTTATTTGATGTAATTAATAATGATAATTTATGCAAATTTGATGTGATTTTCAACTATTTATTTTCTTATGTATTTTATTGTTTTTTATTTCTTATTATATCTATTGTTTTATTTCTAATGTATTCTTTTGTTCTGAAATACACCAAGTTACTTTGAGAAACATATAAAAGCAATTTGATATCAATTCATAGCTCCCACTTGGAAGAAATACATCTAGACCTGTATTCACATTTCTGGTTGTACATGAATATATGCAATTATAGCACTTTTTTGATGACATGCGCATACTAATTGTTATGTAACACCTTACAGGTATATCCGATTTCGACGAAAATGGTATCAAAATGTGCGTAAGACTTGAGGGAAAAAAGTCATGAAACGACAATTCAAAATTCCGAGCGGTTGCGGCGCAATCTCCGAAAATGTCGAGGGGGGGGGCCTCCCAGGCCCCCCCCCCCCAGTACAGTAAGGGTTAACTGGTTGTTTTCTGGCACCTTGCAGAAAGACCTGGTGAATCTCACATGGCATGACGTCCTCAAGAAGGTACAGCAGGTCCAGAGAGAGCAGAGAATGTGTATACATAAGGCAGAGCTGACAGAATTAGGTAAGGAAATATTTAAACTTACCCCTAGAAAAACTACACCTGTAATTCATGAGTGGGTTCTTGTATACATGTACATGTAGCTATCATGTCCGTCACACTTGACACTCTTGGATCTCCACAGTAATTTTTTTTTGTGCAAACACTTATCAGAAAGAAGAAAAGAACAAAAAAATCTGAAAATAGTTTGTATGAAATATATTGAGGGTACACGGTAACAAAGGAACTTGTAACTTGTCATTTGGTGAAGTGATTTTTCGCAATTTCAGAAATTCATGATTTTACTTTTTTTCCTTGATCACATGTTCTACAAGTTTTCACTAACCTACTCACTTAATATGTCTGCATTTGTTCACATCAACTTGATGTAAATGTGGACACCCCCTTTAATCTTTGTTGTAATTGTCTTATTATCCTTGCAGACATATATCACAGGATACTGAGGTTTAAGAATTATATGGTTGCCATGGTGAATAAGTCTTTACTGCCGTTACATCATCATCCACCCTTCTTAGGAGATACGTAAGTATCATTCTGGTCTGTGGCCGTTCTACATGTACATGTATTGTTATTATTTAACACTTTGGTTGCTTTCTTCGCCTCTCTTCACAGGCACTAATTTGCCACAGAATGCGGTTTGTCACAAAACAACAAGCATAAATTGTCAGATTGATTGCTTTGTGCAACACAGCGACTTTGCAAAATTACCCATTTCCAGTCTTGATTAGCTCCATGGCTACCTGTTTAACACCGATAGAGATTAATCTTCTACTGGAAATATTTTAATGATCTTGAAGCCTTTGGTGTTTATCTATCCCATGATAAATACAATGTGGCACAGGGAGATTATTTGTGTGGCATTTAAAGAGTTAAAGTGTGCCAGTCACCAACAAAAACAATTGTGTATAGCTAAAATGTATTCAATCAACCTCTAAAGACTCTACTCGACATTCTACGGGTCAACAGTTAGGGAGTATAACAAAAATGAAGGATAACATACAATCCTGCGCATGGGACTTGAGGGTTCCATGCAGAGACTCCCTGCAATGTAATTTTTCGTTTAGTCTAGTGTCGGTCTCATTTGTCGGTGTAACTGAGGTATAAGGGGCTAAGGAATTCCAAACTTCTAAACAGATTCAAATGGTTATCTGCTTGAAAGGGTTCATCAGCATGAACATAGTTATATCTGATATTTTTGTTAAAGATAAAGGCCAGTTATGGTCATGCGATTGCATTGTGAAAGAAACATTGTGGAATCAATCAGAAAAGGTTGATCATCTAGCATAAAGTATTGGTGTGTACTGCAAGGTTCTGGAATCATCAAAATGATAAGAAATTTGGCCCAGTCTTGGTAAAGTTACAAGCACTGTACACAGAAAGATGTATATGGGACTACGCACACGTGCGCAACACATGCGTTATATCTATCAGGTCCGAATAGATATAATAATTTACCAAATATATCAATTAGTAGGCGGTTTCTTGGCAAAATTTGTATGGTCACGTATTAGTCAAAACATATTCTTTCACATGATTGGTAATAAGAGTTTCCATTTCAATTTTTGAGATGGGGGCTTTTCCAAAACTGGTCTTTACCTTTAAGATATAATCCTCTTAAGACACATGATATCACATGACTGTTTATTTTGACAGTAGCAGTCAGACAAAATAATCATTTATTGTTTTTCTTTCCCTGCAGAGTTTTTCTCACGAACAGCTTGAAATACAACATAGAGATGATCCTCTTTTGTAAGTTGACTTCACTTTTGATAATGTGTTCTCTACATCTCTCCCTCTCACTCTCCCTATTTCTCTACCTCTCTCCCTTCCTCCCTCCCCTCTCTCACCTTCTCTCTCTCTATCATCATTTCCTGAGTATTCTTGATCTTCTACATTCACTATAACTCCCATATCTTAATGTGGGATTTACTGTGTCTTCTCACTTGTTTTTGTTGTGATTAGAAGTTATCTCTTATTTCCCATGCTCTGTCTCTTTCTTACATTTTCTCTCTCTCTCTCTGGCTATCTCATTTATTTTGTTAACGTCCTATATCTTTTTGGGGGGTACGTTTGCATTGAATTTTCTGATAATCTAGCTAGGGCATTATCAAATAGCTGAGCTTCTGGTGCTATAAAAGAAGGTAACATTATCATTAATTTACAATACCGTACTTGCATGGTGTAATGTACAATACATGTGCACTAGTTGCAAATCTTGTATTTTGAATTCGAATGAGGTTTGCGGTTACACCACATATTCTTTCGACAGGGTTAGTTGGTCCTGTGTTCTATCTGCTCTTATATTTTTTACTTTATACTTTTTCTTATGAATAAGTGATGTTATTGTATCTTTGTTGTGCTTCATTCAGGGGGTCCTTGGGCTCCGTTTAGGAACTATTGGCACCTGAAGGATGAGTACAAACGATCATCAAAGAGAGAGGAACTAGCAAGACAGTAAGTTTGAAGTTTACATTTACATATACAGTGAAACATGGTCATGAAACAAGAAAAGTGGTCTTCATAGTTAGTTGGTTGTTATGTACAGGTTCCTTTTAACAGTACATGTTTCAATGAGAAACCATTTTCAAGGAAAAGAACAATGTTGTCTTTGTATATATAGATAGGTGGTCTTTCTATACAGTTAGTCACTATATAAAGCAGGTAGTGACTGTATCATTATGTCAACTTTACTTCATAATTTGTCTGTGAGAAATGACAGGGAGAGACATACATGTATAGTGTGCATGTGCGGTCAAATTTAGTATTGCGATGGCAATCACCACTGCCAAGTCAAGTATTAGGACAATCATATGTTTAGACAATATAGAACTGAATTTGATGCAAGGAGTTAGTAATCATTAACACATTCATGACAACAGACCTTAATACTTTCTCAATCAAAATTATTATTAAAGGGATCGTTTAACAATGTTAAATCTGAGATACATGGCCCTACGTGTTATCAGTGTCTAAAAAAATTGCGCTTCAAAATGATCAAGAAGTGCCTCAAAAAAGTAAAAATCTTTGAGTGACCGGTTTTACCATACTCGTTTCCCCAATAGACTGTAGTGTTATGAAAACCGTCAGGCGAACGGTTTTCAAAATTTGTAATTCCAATCATAAATATCTTGATAATCAGACAGGCGATCGGCTTGTAAAAGTCATGGGGTTCCTGACTGACCTAAAGGTTTATAATTATCATTGCATCATGAGCTAAATCCAGAATTTTGTTTCAGAATCTGAGACAAAGTTACTGGATCCCTTTAAGTATTTGGGGTCACTTGAACATGGGATGAGACAATCACTGTGACCCTCTTGTCTCTCCCGGTGCAACTGATAAGGGATATGCAGGTGGACCACTACACGGGTTATAGTGCAACGTAGTGACTCTCCTTCACATTGTTCTTTTACTTAAAATCCTATCCAAGGGAAAGTGTTATCCAGTGTAACCTAGCCTGCATCTATGAAACTGGAGAGGGGCTGCTTAACACATACATGTAGTGCAAGCTTCAATCATCCGCCTGTGTTCGATTCGAACCCACGATCTTTATTTTGACAGGCAGACGCTTAACTGACTGAGCCAACTCGCCTCCTCCAAATTTTCTCTGAGTGGTTACTTACAAACCCTTGTGTCTCTGTTTATTTGCAGGTTGTCAAAGCACATCTTGTGGATAGGTCTAGCTAACCTCATCCTGTGTCCCTTCATCTTCCTGTGGCAGATCCTCTACTCGTTCTTCAGCTATGCAGAACTCATCAAGAGAGATCCCTCGACACTAGGAGCTAGGAAATGGTAAATACAGAGAATCTATCAACTTAAAGGGTGCCTGAGCTCTGCTCTGTTTGTTTAGGGTTCCATACCGAAACACTTTAAGGATAAGCTTCAAATTGATTCAGGAAAGAGATATTGCATGTTCACTGTTATAGGTACTATGTCCCATTTGCAGGCCAAAAAAATGAAAAGGTTAAATTCCAACAGCATTTGAAAGATAATACTAATTTAGAACTTCCCTAAAAAAAGGGGGCTTGAAAATGTCTTTAAGTGGGAAAATAACGATTATTAGTTGTTGAATCGACTTAAGAGCTATGGAGCCAGTAAGTAATAGTCTGATTTTCAGACCATTGTACCGAATGGTCGTACATGAACGTTTTATGCTGCGCAAAGATTCAATCAGTTTAATTTTGGCCATTACAAGAAGTGGGTTATTGATGTAGACAAATGCTCATGTACCCTTTACAGCTCATTTTATGTATGGTATTACCAAAGAAGAAGAAAAGCCAGTTAGTCACTCAATATTGTCTGACAGTGAAGTCTAGCAAGTAAACAGGTTTCCTTGCATAATTTGAATATTAGGACTCTACTGACGTTTGAATTTCACAGATAGGACATACATGACATATTCATGATTCTTGCAGAGTTCAACATAATTTGATGTTGGCTGCAAAAGGGACATAGTATCTTTAACTGACATGACAGCTGAAACGTTTTCATTTCCCATTTACATCTAACCAACCATAAACATGTGTGACTATGGCAACAGTTGCAAATAAACAATGCTTAAATCTCACATATTGCATTGATAATGCTTGTTAGTAACCTGAAAACAACTTTTAGAACTAGATAGAATAATTTGAATGGATTTGTATAGTTAGTTCTAATGGGTGGTATTCCGGTAGCGCGTACTAAGTTAGCGCATACTTAAGTTAGTTCATACTTTTATGGAGTGTCTGTTGCAAAGTAATTTACCCTGTACAGATTATTTTAATCCTTCAATGAAAAGTGTCCAAAAAATTAATTTTGCAATGAAATGGGAAGAAAAAGATATTATGAGTATGAAGTGAATTTCAACAAAGTCTTTGGTAGATTATCTTTGTCATGAATATTGAAGGAGGAAGGTGAAACCTAGCATTCCATAGAAGTGTGAACTAAAATTCTTGTTTAGTCTGGACTTAGTCCCGGCTTAACTTATGAGAATACCACCCAATGTCTTTAGTCTTTACTGATCTTCAAAATCTATATCTTTGCTATGTTTTTTTTTTTTATTGTCTAGCAGCAGTCATTGGTGGAAGAAGATTTCTCCTGCTTGAATACCGATCGATTAAAGTCTGTTTGTCTCTTTCTCTCCCATAGGTCACAATATGGAAGGCTTTATCTGCGGCACTTCAATGAATTAGATCATGAATTCCAAGCAAGGTAAAGAAACAAAAATAAGCCGGCAAAGAGTTGCCTTAAATTGTTGCAAATCAATAATTAAAGCTCTTTGTCTTTTGAAGCAAATTTGATTTTTTTTTAGATGGTTAAAAGATGCCTGTTGAAAGTGCATTCAAAGAGCTTATTGCATTCTTGATTTTGCCCTGAGGACCTCTCATTTTTCTGTTGATAAGCAAATAAAGCTTCGATAATTGTATTTATTTATTTATTATTTTTTTATTTTTTTATATGTACACTGTCGCTCATATAGTTGGAATATTTTTGTTTTACCCCAATTTATGGAATTATTTTAAAAAATAATTAAAAAATAATAGATTAGATCTAGATAATAGTATACATTCTCAGATTTTATTGAATAATAATTTGACAATGTGTGTTTTACGTGACTGCTAAAGCATGTGTATGCTACTATGCTTATCAACTAGGGGACCTACACTCTTAAGTCATAAATGACAGTAATGAGGATTAATGCCCCAAAAAAGGGCACTAATATAGCATATCGACACGGTTTTGATCCTGGGGCCTCACAGTTACAAGGCCATTGCTTTGTCACTGAACCATGACTGTACGCAGCGGGGGCTAGGGTAGGGGGCAGATTCAATAAATAAAATAAAAAACAGAAAATGCAATCAATTTTCAATAATTTATTGCATTTTACCCGGTACCCAACATAAAAAAATCCTCTGGATGGCCAAGCATTATGGCTCAAGGCATTGGCACACAGAGGATGTTTTGTTTGTTATGTGCATCCTGGTACTCAATGACCTCATTTTGTATTTCAAACTTTTATCATTGTCCTGATATATTAGATATAATAACATAATGGCAGTTAAACTGCCAATCAGCACTTGAAGGGTAAGATGTATGATTATTTCTTTTCCACTACTTTGCAGACTGAACAGAGGCTACAAACCAGCTAAGAAGTATCTTGATGCATTCACGTCCAATGTGCTTGCTATCATCTGCCAGTAAGTCATTTTGGTTTTGTTTTAAAATTCATTTCTTAGCTCAAATGCTTCAGTGTTGCAGTGTTGAGATATTGATGCTCCTGTAGAATATTGTTCTGACCCCTTGATCTGAAGTTCTAAACAAAGGTATCATTTTTTTTTTTTTTTTTTTTTTTTTGGGGGGGGGGGGTAAACGCCAACACCAATCACAACACTGACCACGAAATTATCCACTGTAAAAATGTGTTAACATGTTGAAACTTAAACAGCACCACATGTACAGGGTGTGTAAAGAAAAAAGTACATGTATTATTATCATTATCTGCTTGTAAGAAATAGACAAGGGTTACATGCCTATCATTGTTTCTTTTTCTATCCTTTCAGTCTTGTTACTCAGTTTCTCTCTCTCTCTCTCTCTCTCTCTCTTCTTCATATTATTGTATTATATGTATAAATTTGTAAAACATTTTGCCTTTTGTCATTTTCCTTTTTAAAATCCATTTAATTCATCCCTTGGGCTGCTATGTGGAATTTTTTGAATAAATACCAATACTATTCAACTCACTTCAATTCAACATGCAATAATTCTGAATTGTTGGGCCAAAGTCGACTCTTATCATGTGTATGTGCATTCTCTGCCTACAGTTGACCCTTTACATTTCTGTTTTGTCCTCCAGGAACATAGCATTCTTTGCAGGCTCCATCCTAGCTGTCCTCATCATCCTCACTGTCATTGATGAAGACGTCCTGACCGTAGAGCATGTACTCACCACTGTCACGTTGCTAGGTAAAGAACATCCTTCATTTGATCCGTTTCCATTCTGATAATATAATTCATATACACTATATGTAATTGCAGGTATATAACATATTGACATTTTTGTAACAATTTCTACTGGAACTCGTGGAGGTGCAATTAAAATGGATGGTGGCTCAGTCGTTAGAGCGCCCACCTCATGAACGGGAGGTCGTGGGTTCGACCCCGGCCGAGTCATACCAAAGACTTATAATAATGGGACCTTCTGCCTTCTAGCTAGGCGCTCAGCATATTAGATTGGAGAAGGGTAGTAATGTTATGCAGAGCCCGCTGGAAGAACAGTTTCATAACTGAAGTGGCTACCCTGGGTAAATAAAACGTTATTATTATTATTATTTTATTATTACCTTTTAAAGGCCCACTACACTACTTATAGCTACTTGCACCCTCTATATAACAAACAATGCCTAATTGGTAACCATTGGTCCCCCATGATCCCCTTTTTCTTATGTTAATTGAGATCTAATTTGATGAGATAACCACCTGTCAGTGACCAAGACCATGCAGGGAGGCCAAACTAGGTAGTACAGATAGTCTTTAAAGCAAAGTTCTTGTAGGCAGGGTCCTAATCGGTACCAACATTCCTGAGAAGAATATTTAAACAATCAACTTTGTTTACATAGTTGCACTATTACATGTAACTACACATAGTTGTACACTATATCACAACAAGATGGTTCTACAATACACAATACACAATACTGAAAGCAGCAACAGTATTAAAAACAAACCAACCAAGTTTGACCTGTGACTTTTAATGAATCTCCCATCACCTTCTCATTCTGTTCATGCGCATAAATTAATATAAACATGAATATATGTAATAATATAATAATAATAATAATAATAATAGCCTAATAGTCCTCTCCAAATTTTATTAAACCGAAACGGAAATTCTTTTTGCCCAATTGATCGTGAGCCTGGCAGCCACTGACCAGCGCCAGATCAACGTTGCTCTATCCCTTATTGTTGAACGCCAAACAAGGTAGCAACAACTCCCATCTTTTAACGTCTTTTGGTATGACGCGGCCGGGGTTCGAACCCACGACCTCCCGGTTGTGAGGCGGACGCTCTACTGACTGAGTCAACACTCCGGTAGTATAAGGTTCCCAACAACGTACAAACATAAGTGATGGAGAGGAGAAAGAGGAGGCCACAAGGTGGTGCAAGTAGAAGAAAGAGATACTGTAATGGAAATATGAAAACGGATAGAGAGTCCAGAATGCATCACTTTCATGTACATGTATAATCGGCCTTTCAGGATCCATGCAATTGTTTTTTTCATTTTTTTTTTTTTTCATCTTCATTTTATTTATTCAACCAGTATAAAAACAATTTACAATGAAAATACAATATACAATATACAATATAATGGTTAGGACCCCTAAGAAGCAGAAATCTGCTTGTAATCGGGGGCCCTGCAAACAAACAATAACAAGATAATGCACATAAATTAACAATACAAAGTAAAGGACTTAAGTAATACAAGTACGCACCAGTACATGAACACACATACGCACGTTCATAAAGAAGAAGTTGAATGATAGATCTGAATAGCTTCATTAAGCTCTGATTAAGTACAGATTAAGTACAGCATAGCCACCTTTTTTAGATAATGAATATATCTTTAGTATTGAATGCTTGTTACATGTTAATCTTTGGGCTAAACCAACCATGCATACGGTAGACATGTACATGCAAAATTAGAGCCATAAGTTTTAATATCATACTCTCTTCATCTCCCTAATCTCTCTTTTTACTAACTGCAGGAGTTGCTGTCACGATATGCAGAACCTTTATTCCAGATGAGGTGAGTATGTATACATCATGTATCACTAAACTGGAGTTACCAACTAATGTTATGACGATAATCCTAGTCCTAAGTGTTACAGGGGAATTTGACCATTCCGCAAATTTCCACCATAATTGTTGCTTCATTGGTGGTACATTGCATGTAGCACCCATTCAAGATAAATATCTGTGTTACCCATTTATAGTATATTGACAATAAAATTTGAGTGTGAATGTTTCATCTTGAATCACACATTTGGAAATGTACACATTTTTACATTTCCATGTGCATGCCTAGCATTTGAGTGATTCCTTTTAGTTTTGGGGAGGGCTTGGATAGTAGATCATAGTTTAATTATACATGTGCGCGAGTGTTGAAAATGTTCATGTTTCCTTCGAAACAGGGCCTTGAGACTAAATCAGAAACGAGGTTGAAAAAAATTCAGACAAACATGAAGTATGTGTTTACAATTCACATGTATTTAATGAAGTACTTATGATTGTCAATTATATGTTGTCCTTCTGAAATTACTGTGGAGCAAGATTGTAAATGTAAATATGAACAATTATCCTCTATGGACATGATAAAGAAATGAAATGAAATGAATGTTCCTTACCATCATCTTCTTGTCTTAGAACCTGATCTGGTGTCCAGAGACTCTAATCCAGAGTATACTAGCCCAGATCCACTACATCCCAGACTCTTGGAAAGGCCAGGCTCACACCTACAAGGTCCGAGACGAGTTCTCACAGCTATTCCAGTACAAAGCAGTAAGTACACAATCATGAATATGGCATGCAAAGACTGGGTTGATTTATGATGCTGGTCAAGATGATATGATGATGATGGCAGGAATTAATTCCTTGAAATGCTGGAAGCACTGTAATGGCAGCTAGGCTAAAGCCGGAGTAATAATAAATGCGCCTCTTAATTGAATTTCTAGATAGGTGGCGCTATAGAAATGCCTATCATTATTATTATTATTATGGTGATGGATGTGATGGTGATGGTGGCGGTGGTAATGTTGATGATGATGCATAAGCCTGGGTTTGTGTTGGTGGTGGTGATACCAATAATGGTGATGACTGATGAGTGTGATCATGGTGATAATGACAGTGGTAATGATAGTTGTGTTGGTAATTTTTGTGGTGGTGATGTTATGTGTAATCAATCATAATGGTTATGATGATTATGACAGTGGTGGTGTTGATTTGGCTTACACAACAGCATTAAAACTACACAAAATTTTAGCTTAAAGTTTTAAAATAAATGCCCTACATATGTATATAAATACAGAAAGTGATACACATATCACTGTTCCACATTGTTTGCATCCTCACCAAGCTTAAAGTGACTCGGTAACTTTGTCTCAGATTCTGAAACAAAATCCTGGATTTTACTCATGCTGCAATCATAATAATAAACCTGTCAGGAACCCCATGACTTTTACAAGCCAATCGCCTGTTTGATTATCAAGATATTTATGATTGGAAATCAAAATTTCATTTTTCGTTTTCCTAATGGTTTTTATATGTTTTTATGAGTATGGTAAAACCGGTCATTCAAATATTTTTACTTTTTGAGGCACTTAATGATCATTTTGAAGCGCAATTTTTTTAGGGCATCAATATTACACCATAAAAACGTACACGTAGGGCCATGCATCTCAGATTTAACATTGTTCAATGAATCCTTTAACATACACCGTTCATCATCTGCATGTTTGTTTCCTCCCAGGTCTACTTCTTGGAGGAGCTCCTGAGTCCCATCGTCACTCCATACATCCTCATCTTCAAGCTCAGATCCAGAGCTGTGGACATCGTTGACTTCTATCGTAACTTCTCCGTGGACGTCATCGGTGTTGGAGATGTCTGCTCCTTTGCACAGATGGACATCAGGACCCATGGAAACCCCAAGGTCAGACAAATCCCCCAAATCTCAATCATTATCAGAAACAAGCTCTAAACAATACTTATACTAATGGATACAAATGGATTCTTGTGAACGCGGGAGGGATTTACATAGGAGTAAGATATTCTCCTTATGTACGTAGACAAATGTTCTCCTGATAAAGCTCATTAGTTTTTTTACTTTATTGATCTTAGACTGAAAATGCTGTCAAATCTAATATTCGAATCAACAATCACTCCTAAATCTCTACTTGAGTCAATGTGCGCCATATTATGTGTAGCATTTCCACATTTCATAGTGTATGGATGCTCCCTAAAGTCTTCATTGATATATTGTCTATTCAGGGCCACATGCAGAATGCTGTCAACTCTCGGTTAAAGTACATGTCCATACAGATACTATATTCATATGGGCAATGACATTAAACATGTTATGCAGGAGAAAATGTCATTTGCTTAACTACCAGTACTTCTCAAATTCATATTGATCTAGATACACTGTAGTCCATTTGCATGCATGTATGATTGATATGAAGAATAGTGTGTAACATAATGTGAATTGGAATGATAATCTGAAGATTTTTCTTTTACGTGGCTCAAAACATGGATGAAAATTAGTTCATAAAGTAATTTGTCGAAAATTTGTCTAGTAAATACCTAGTTTGTACCTGTGCTTGAATATGTGAGATTATAACTAATGTAATTTTAATATATACATATGTATATTGGACTAAGAAATTCATATGTTGCATGTTTTTGCTTCCCATCTTTCAGTGGATGACGGGCGGAAACTCGGAGGCCAACCAGTACAACCAAGCTGAAGACGGCAAAACAGAACTCTCACTCATGCATTTCACTGTAAGTATATCACTATCTAATGTGGCAAGTAGTGTAAATGGTTATAGGATTCACATGTACATCTGAATGAATGTATTTCAAACAAGAATATCTTTGTCTCTTAAAGTTTTCCTCCTGCTTTCTCTGTCCTCATCTTGTTTTCTCTATCGGATCCTCCTCTTACTTCTTTTTTATAATTTTGTTTTTACTTTAGTTTCTTTCTTCTCAAATTAATTTTCTCTAAATTACAATTACTCACACCCTCTCTCTCTTTCTCTGTCTCTCTTTGTCTCTCTCTTTCTCTCTCTTTCTCTCTCTCTCTCTGTCTCTCTCTTTCTTTCTACTTCAATTATCATGTATCTCTTTGTTATATCTCTTTCCCATACATGGATATCCATTTATTTACATACAAACCCTATTCATTCACGTTTTTTCTAGAATAATTTTGCAGGGGGCTAATTGTCCTTAGAGGGTGTTTATCCCGCTGGTAATTGGCCGGGTGGTGATTGTCCAGGGGGTTATTGTCCTAGGAACGTATGTACCTCTTTACCTCTATATCGTTTTTTTTTCTTCATTTTCTCTCTCTTTCTCTCTCTCTCTGTTCCAAATGTATACCAAGCTCACGATGTTGTTTCTCTGTCTCACTGCAGGTCACTAACCCTAAGTGGACACCACCCCAGAGCAGCAAGTGCTTCATCAGTGCCCTCAAGACTCAAGGCAAGTAGTCTAATAAAGGTCATAGAGGTCAATTTACAGGCTGAGGTATTCTTTCTTAAAGGTTACAGAGGTCAATTTATATGATACATGATAATTGTCAGTGTTGTAACTGCAGTATTCCAAGAACTATTGACTTACATGTAGTGTGCACAACAAATGTAATATGAGTACATTATGTATCGTTTTACATGTGAGTAAATATATGGAGCCAGGTCAGAGGTCATGAATACTAATTTTCACAAGAAAATTGTGCAGTTTATAGATCAATATGAATTATGTATTCAATCAAAATTTGTAATTTAGAATGTAACTATTCCTTGTGGAGATATTATTAAAGAAGCCGTGGTGTGTATATTGTTGATGGTTTGTTTGTTTTGTTTTTTACTAAATTACAGCTCAGCGGGATATTAAGACGTGCAACAGACTGGAGGCTGAAAACAATGCCCTGATGACGTCAATGAGGTCTATTACATCACTAGAAGGGGTGAGTAAATGACTGCGTACCTCGTTGACTTGAAATATTAATCCATCTCCACCCCATCCACCTCAATGCTGAAAAGAAAAATTTCGTTTAGATGTGTGACATTGATTGAGGGGGTGATTGAAGTTTCCAAGGGACGGAAAAAATATTTGTCTTTAGCTTAAAATAGTACTCTTAGACGAGCCATCCCCCTCTTCCTCAGTGGTTGAAAGCTAAGAGAAGAAAAATGACTCGAAATGAGAAATGCAAAATTGCTACAGTGTGCAATAGGTATAGTGTGAAGACTTTAAGAGGATGGTACTAGAATGTAATGTACATGTCTCTTTGACATGAAATATTGCTCCTTTCCAAAATTTGAATTTTGATGGGTGATCAAGAAGAGTATACTACTGTAGAGAGTAGCACCTATTGAATTATTAGTACATATGATGGTATGAAATAGATTTCTTCCATGTAAAAAAAGAACTGTGGACACAGAAACATATTTGATGTTGGGATGTTATTGAGATACAATACATTCATTTTTTTTACTTCTTCATTACTCCTTTGTCTCCGACAGCAAAATAGTATTCTTGGTAGTCTGGCCGTTCAGCACAGCAACCCTCCCTCCCTCGGCACCATCCCCACCCCTCATTTCCAGCCCCCTGCCCCCCTCGCGACCCCCGTCTCATCCCCCACCCCAGAAGGTGCCACCAGCTCCTCCCGCCCAACCCAGCTGGTGATGGGCGGGATCACCAGCTCTGAGGGACCTCTGGAGTCTGATGGGTCAGGTCTTCTTTCAAGGTAAGGTTCTATATTACCAGGGGGGTGTTTCACAAAGACTACGATCGAATTTAAGTTGGGTTTAACTATGGCAGGCTCTTCATGCCAATGTTTACTCTCACCATTTACTGGTATTGTTCTCTCAAGGGTTGTACAAATCGTAGTCACAAATCTACAGAATTTACCTTTTTTAAAATATTATCTAAAGATCAGAATTGAAAGACCAATGGTGAGAGTAACCAGTGTCATGAATAGCCTGCCATCGTTAAGTCCAACTTAAAGTCGATCTTAGTCTTTGTGAAACACCCCCATGTTCAGTTCAGTCAAACCTGCTTTAGTGACAACCTGTCTACAAAGACAACATTTTTAGTTTCCCTTGAAAATGGCTTCTTATTGAAACATGTACTAATATTAAGGAACCTTTATAATAATAATCCGGTTTAAATCGGTTTCTCTTTTCTTTTTTTTTGTTGATTTTTTTTTCTTCCCCCATTTGTTTTTTTTTTCCTGTTTTTTTTTTATTTCCTGACTTTACCCCTATTTTCCTGATTTTTCCCTATTTTCCCAAATTTTCTTACTCAAAAGGCAGGGAATGTTGTTAGATGCCCTTTCTCTTTCTTGAATCCCTTTTTTTTGTTAACTCAAGGGGGGGGGGGGGGGGGGGGTTGAGGGAAAAAAATGTAATCTTTCTAACTCTTTCGATCTTCGGCTTTTTACATGTACATGCACATTGGGTAGGATGAACTGCATCATTGAATTTGTAAACCCAACTAAACATCCTTTTTTTATTCATTTTCTTCCATGCACTGTTCAGTCTCCAGAGCCCTGATGGAGCTTTCCTGACTAGCATGCAAGGCCCAGGTCTCATGCAGCAGTCTCTGATACCAACGGCCAACCCCATGGTGACGGGACCCTCCCCTGCAAACGTTACAACGGCCGACATGAACTTCAGCGCCCTCTACATGCACCAGGTATATAGGATACATAGCCTATAATTGTGTTTTTTGCCATAAAAGACAATATAGGCAAAAATAATTGTGCTTCTGTAAAAACATATTCACATGCAATTTATTTTTATGAGTATGAGAGTGGTCCACAATCGTGACAGTTATATTCCATGAAGTTACTTACTCGCTGCACTAAATTGAAGCAGTTTCCTAAAGTGTCTTGCTTTAAATATGACCCTCTATTGACCACTCTCGTTTTACAAGGTGATAAAGATTACATGTCGTCCTTGTTTTCACGAAGTGACGGTAGTGAGGAAAATCGTAACGCAAAGTGAATGCAATTTTTGTTCACTACCGTCACTTCGTGAAAACAGCGACGATGTATAGATCATTAGGGTTGCACAATGGCTCAGTGGTAGGGCAGTGGTCTTGTTAACGGAAAATCCCAGGTTGGTTAATTACCAAATTAATGAGCTAGTGCCATTACTATCAAATTCCCTGGGATAGGACTCAAACAGTAGGTCATATGATGGCTTGTTTATTAACTTGTACATGCCTTTCTAGCAATTATTCATGATGAATTGCGGCCTCAAGGCTGTGATCGAATTAGCATGGGATGGCTGAAAGGAAATTAATTCATTAATGAAATTGGAAAGTACTCTATCCATGTACTTTATGGCTATTTTTTCTGTAGGCAATACATGAATATTGTCCTTGTAACTTAAAGGTAATACAAAGTTTTGGTATGGGGTCATGAATTTGGTTCAAATGAACATATTGGAAGCATATGCAATCCTGCAATAGTCAGCGAACGTTGTCGCGGTTGACATCGAGCTAAAGTGATGAAATTGTAATTAATAAACTCTTTATGTTGTATAGCTTTCTCTCAAGACCGATATTTCTTTAGCTTTAAAACAATGTTTCTTAACTACAATCAATCGCTATTTGAAATATTTGAAATTTACGGGAAGTACCGGTAGGTTTTTTATTATTCAATTTCTCGAAAGCAAAAGTGTTTTAAGGGCTAAATTTTGTAATGCTTATAAAACATCCATGGGGGCATCCAAATATATCAACATTTTAAAGAATTACCATCCATCTAATCATTAAGAAATCTAATTAATGTATGTTTTCCTGCCCAATCTAGCTTCACGACAGGAGTATCGTCTTGCCAGGCTCTTCCTCCCTGGAGATGCAGCCCCCTCAACACCCAATGAACCAATCCACCCCGTGGCAAATGGAACTTCCCACAGACTCCATAGACTCGGATGATGATGACCACCCTCTCCAGAACATGCCATTAGCACCATTGGGACAGCTCATTAACACGGATGTATAAAATAAAAGCCATACCTGTATGCTTTATCCCGTATGTATGCTGACGTCAAACTTTCAAATATGAAACGGACATCACATTTTGTGACATGGGGCTCATGTTCTAAAAATGATGATATCGTGCATGTTAGCTAAAACGCTGTTAATTGTAATAACGGATCTTAATTAGGAAAAGCCATTGGATAATATCTGTGCAAAGCTGGCTGTGTTCGTGTAAAGTTAAAGAGACATACGCACAAGCACTAGTGGCAAGTGTTGGTTTTCTTAATGAGAAATAGTCATGCCCTGTTGGCATCTGGAAAGTGAAACAATTTGTGCAGATATTAACATCTGACCTGTGTGCTGTGCAGAGATAGAAAAGAGGTTGGTACATCAGTACATGCACTGTGTAGGTGTTTCTGTGTAAAAAGTGCACTATAAACGCAACGAGTGATGTGGAAAGTAAAGAATTTGCATTGTTGGCGTTGTATATGAGTGAATATAGTGAAGGCGGTCTGATGAAAGATATATTGATATGAATGGCAGGTGTAGAATAAGTCTTGGTTGCAATAAAGAAATGATAATATTAATAAATATAATTTGAAAAAGGGTGATCAAGATAAAAACATATTTAAATGATATTAAATAAAACACAATAATTATAATAAGTATAATTGCAATAGACACAACAAAAAGAGAATTACATCGAAGCTTCATGGCAGCTTCAGATGCTAATGAGCAATGGTTGTAGAACAAAGTTTTAAAAAAAGAATAATTTGTTATGTTCTTTCATACTACTTGTATGATCTTCTCTGTTCTTAAAGATCTTTTTCTCTGATTTGTAATACTAAAAGCAATTTATTTGTTGGCTGTGCTCTTAATACACATTTGTGAACACATTGCTTACCTCTGTAATGATATATTGATGTAAAATGACATGTACGCTGTACTTGTTTTTGCATTTTTATTTTAACATTAGATTCATGTAAAACACAAATCTTATTACATATATATTTACATGAATGTAGATTTCATGCTTGTACCAAATTGTTTATTTTGTTCTTTTTATCGTGAAGTATATTTATTGTTAACCTATGTATATAATGTGAATGGGATAAGTGTTGTTTAAAGAGCTTTACATGAATATGTTATAGTATAGTCAAATATGAATTCTCACATGAAATGATGTACAGTATGCATGTGTTGTGGAAACCTAATATTATGCAATATATATAAAGTCATGGTTATGTGTGTGCATTTGTGGAAGTATAGCAAGAATTGCCTTAGAAACATTGGAAATAGTTTAAATAGCTTTAATCGTGGGAAATCAGATGTGTAGGAAATTATTAGTCGAAATAAGCTTGGTAGTATATATGTATATTCAAGTACCTCAAATTAGTTTCACGAAGTTGTAGTTCATTGAATTTGTACTTAGCACCTTCTTGCAGTGGATACACAGTGGATGGTAAGGTGTTCTATTGGATGATATATGTATCATCAACATTGATTAACTCAGTTGTAAAAAGGATGTAAGTGCAATGCTTGTGAATAGCAACATTTATGAATTTATTTGTAAAAACGGATCTGTAAAATATTAAGTCTGAAATATGAACAGAAAATGATCCATTCAAGATAACAATGGGAGGAAAGTGGTAAAGAAAAATTTAAAAATGAAATATGAGTTCAAGTATGATATTCATGTATATATTAATGTAGTATTGCAATGCAGTTAAAAAAAAAATCTTGATTAGGTGGTGAACAATGAATAGAAAAGCATTTTATTCCCTCCCTCCCCCCCCCAAAAAAAAGAAGAGATACTTAAAGATCTGCTGCATGTAAATTCTCGTGTACAGTACCAGTATTAAAACTAGGTGTTGTTTAAAGGTTTTGCTTTCCATGTTTGCCCTCGATAAATTTCCAGCACATCAAATTCATGTGGATTTCACTAGAGATTACCGAAGTTTTGCCACTTCACATTATAACAGTGTGGTCGTTGCATATTATTAATAATATTTGTTTAAACCGATTGACTTTGACCTCGGTGTATACATGTAGTTGTGTGAGTCCCCTTTGCAGGATGTGACTGGATATACAATTTATTAATTTCTGATTCCCATTCCATTACAGGGGCTGTACCATTTGGTACTTGCCCTCTCCAACAAAAAAAGGCACCGTTTTTATATATTATGATCCGTTCAGTGATGAGCACATTAAGTTACGAAGTGTATTATAAACCTGTGATGAAGTAGAATTACATGTTGACATTGCTTGAAAGGAAATATCATTTCCAGTATTTGTACGTTTCAAGTGGTTGTCATTATAATTTGAAACGTACAGTATATTACACACCAGGTGAAAATTGTAAAATTCCATGTCTAAAGTGCTTGAAAAAGATATTATGTTCAGTATTCGCACAGGCATTGTATTATACGATGTACATTTGCAGATTTTTGTTAGCCTTCTTGGAATGACAACTGTCAAAAGATTCCACGATTGGTCAGCATAACATGTTGCTAAAATTATTCATCCTTAATTCAGTAGATATTTTAAGAGGTTAATATACAAATATGTAAATATGTTTGCATAGAGGAAAAGCAATTATACCCGCTTTGTAGGCCACTGACATACACTAGTATCATAAGTCACCCGTTATATTCTGATAAATCGTTGGATTGCGCGATATACTTTTGAAAAATTGAATCATCATTTTAGCCTCTGTACAGTGTTGATGTTATTTAAAGCTGGAAATGTAAGACTTATGCAAAGAGAAATGTTTCATTCTGTTTAATGCAATTTTCTTTGCCAAAAACCATTGAAAATTGCATCTTTTAAGATATTGTTCTTCTTATTAGAGATTCTCCTTCCTTTTAAATTTTTTTTTTTAATGTTCATCTTCCAATTACTAACTTATGACTTTTTTCATTTCATAATGATTTCGTTTATTCACTTTTATTTATAATTTCTATTGTTTTCGGGAGTTTCAGAAATATTTGTAAGCACATTAACATCAATTGCACACGTATCTGGAAACCTTTATTTACAGGCATTGTATTGATGTGTCGTTCTAAGGCCTCGTTCAGGTTTGAAGGGTTAAACCACTTTTTTTCTCTTTTTTTTCTTCTTAATGATGTTAAGTGTAATATGCTTTACACTTCTGTATCTTATCTCACAGAGATGAGTGAATATGCATAGGGTCTTTGTTAGGCCTACGTGCCATTCATTTACAAGTTAAAAAGAAAACGGAAAGCAGTTTTTCTAGGGTGGTTTAATATGGCATTTCTGAACAAGCCTTGAGAGAGAGTTTGGTAGGGAAAGTTAGACGTAATGGCAAAGACTTGAAAAATGCACCTGTCGCCATTTTCAATAGCCTTATTCATTGCCTGTTGAAATGGGGAGACATTACAATGACGTATGACGTGATCCAAACGTCATTTATGTGTGATATGCTGTACGCCTAGGGAAGGCAGGTGTGTTAATATATCAATTGCCTGGAGGCTGGAAGATGCAAGAAGCTGTTCGAATTCTTCTTCTTTTTTTCTCCCTTTTTTGTTTGGTTTTTCTTTCTGTCTTTTTTTCGCAAATAGATATTTATATGATAAATGCCATGTAGTTAATTTGTTGGATATTGATTATTTATTATTATTAAAAACAGTATGTATGCCTGACATTTGAAAAGCGCGTTTTGACTTATTGATGTGCCTGATTATTTATGAACATGTGGAGTGTGTTTTTCGTAAAGTATACTCTCTCTCTCTCTCTCTCTCCCCTCTTTCTCTCTCCACTCTTTCTCCCTCTTTCTCTCTCCACTCTCTCTCTCTCTCTCTCTCTCTCTCTCTCTCTCCCTCTCTCTATCTCTCTCTCTCCTCTTTCTCTATCCCCTATTTTTCTCGTCACTCTCTCTCTCTCTTTCTCTATCTCCCTCTCTCTTCTCCCCCTCTCTCTCTCTCATATCATTCTCTTCTCAATATCTACTATGAAACATAAAGACATGTTCTTTAAAGCTTATCTGTACTAGTTTATAGGAGGGATTAGAGCACACTGCAAGGTCACTGCACATGTGGTTATCTCATCAACTCAGCTCTCAAATAACATAAGAAAAAGAGGATCATGGGGGACCAATGGTTACCGATTGGGCATTGTTTTCTATATAGAGGTAGCAAGTAGCTACAAGTAGGACAGTGTGGCTTTAAAAGGAAATGCGTCGAGTCTATACAAAACTATGACAATCGGGATTTCAAAAATGTCTTTGTTCCATTGTAATTTTGAAAATTGAAATTCAATGGAATTTTAAGGACAAAATAAATTGGTAGGTTGCCCAGCTGACAGCATTATGACTCATTTACCTATTATTACTTTGTCCCAACCACCGACTTGCTTTCTGGTTTTATGATTCTATAGGTGCTGTGCTGTCCATTAATTCACTAAACATGATCGGAAAGACCTTCGAGAATTCAACCTAAGCAGTTTTCAATAATATTTTCTATCACCTAGTTAAATATTTGAAAAATTCTATTGTAAGCGTTACGGAATGACATTTCTATAGAGTTTTCAATTCAAAAAAAGAAATATTACAGACATGATACAAATTTACAAATCAATGCAAGACAGAATTATGAATTTTTATGAGATACTTTCACAAAAGTTGGAAGTGATTTTCTTATCAACCATTCGTCAAATTTACAGAAAATTAAAATCTAAATAACTTTATTTGATTGATGGTAACCCCAAATGTTGTGAAGATACGTAATACATGTTAACATATCGTGTCATTGATTTGTACATTATTTGTTTAGAATTAGAACATCTACATGTATAATAACCTTTATCCTTAATTGCAAATTCTCTGATGGTGTCACTCCTTAACGCTTTGATTTGACCAACATTTAAATGAGGGGAAAAAACATAACAAAGATGGTACTGACACTTTTCTTCTTCTTAATGAACAACTTTTAATCATACATGTTTTTTTACATGCCGAGATCACATAAACACATATCTCATATAAGTAAATGTATGTTATCACAAAAATGATATGAGTACTTTGCAGTAGTAATATATCTTGTTTTGTTTTTGTCAAAACGACTATGATACAATATGTCAACAGTTTACACTGCGAATATAGGAAGAACGGGTGGATACTCCATGCTTACAAAAACAGCAGAATTATAATCTTCTCAGTATATACATATTTATACTATATTAACTATCTACATTATATCAATCTACAACTCTCTGACACATCCAGTGAACATGCAACAATACCGCGAAAGTAATTTGTTTAAAGAGGACATAGGTTAAGGGTTAAACTTTTTTTTTTGGGGGGGACGGGTTTTTTCTTCTCCCTTTTTTCTATGTAACCACACGATACCAAGGGTTTATAATGTTACATACATCACAAATTCTCAAAGTCATTTCAGAATAACAAATTATGTCAGAACATTTTGTTCGATGTTTTGGCAGAAAATGTATAAAATACCTATTGGGAGTTGACATTGATGTACTGATTTATGTAAGCATGTTACAGTGGCGGATATGGAAAGAGAGGGAAGAGGGAGGAAGAAAACGTCACAGCAAAAACATGATGATTATTTTTGTTTCGTTTCGTTTTGGTTTTTGTGGATACTGGAACAAATAGATGCAGTGACGTGCTTGAGGCAGTGGGCCTAACATCTCAAATTACATTGAAAATATTAATAAAAGATAAACATTAATTTTGACTAAAAGACATGGCATTGTTCGCCATCAGTTACAAAATTAAAAATGAAATTCACGCTATAAAATGATGAAGATGAATCGTTATGTGTTCCCGTACCCAACACGATATTTTTGTTAACTCAGGCATCAACATTAAACGATGGGTTATCGGCAAGATGTGTCGAATTGCCTTGTTTCTTAGCGACCTCGGAGTTATCAATATCAAAAGTGCATATATATTTTGTTTACACAGATCACTGAAATAACGAACAAAATGTCCTACAACTGATGGTTACATGACTAACTGAATAAGATAATTCATAAAATGCAAAACTAAAACACATCAGAAATGATCTTGATTTGAACCAGAAGTTGTGATAATATTATCCTGATTTTAGTACAATACAGAATTAAAATCTAGCATACATACTTTACGAAATGACCCGTTTGTAATCCTCGTAAACAAGATAAAAATATTAGTTTACGTTACCGAAATGTTACACCATAATAAAACAGAAACGATACAAAAAGTAATCATAAATTTAAAGGTAAACAATTAGATACAACACTCCAATACAATAGGAAATTATTCAACAAACAATTCATTTTCTACAAACTAAAAACAAATGCTCAAAACTACAAATACTTATAAAAAGTTAAGGGAGGAAATTGCCTACAGACTGCGGATTTGAAAATGCAAATTGTTTCTGAAAGTACAGTACTTACACACATTCGTAATGTGATGTCATTTACCATGTAAACAGTCATTTTTGTCTAATTTTGATATTATATAAAATCATATGTTTTTAAGAACACGACATAATATGTCCTAAATCATTTCAAATCATTTCCCTATCTTATCACATTTTTTTGTCTTGCTTGAGAATAATTACAATTTTTTTTTTCAAGTTGCAGTTAAGACAGTGATGCAAGCGCAAGTTTGCGTATCACCCCACCACCACATCATCATTATCTTCGTCTTGGTCTTCATCATCATCATCATCATCATGAGTCATCATCATCATCATCATCATCATCATCATCATCATCAGAAACATCATCATCAGCAGCAGCAGCAGAAAGATCACCATTTTTTTTAACACTGACATCGTTATCGTTACCACCATCATCCCCCACCATCCATTTGCCACCATCATTGACAAAAACTACAATATTATCATTATCATCATCATTATTACTACCACCATAATCATCTTTCTCATCACTCCCACTATCATCCCAATCATCACCATTATCACCCTCATGATCATGATTATCATCATCATCACCAGCACTTTATCCGAATCATCATCATTATCACCCTCATGATCATGATTATCATCATCATCACCATCATCATCGTTATCATCATCACCAGCACTTTATCCGAATCATCATCATTATCATCATCATGATCATGATTATCATCATCATCATGATGATGATGATTATCATCATCATCATCATCATCACCAGCACTTTATCCGAATCATCATCATTATCACCCTCATGATCATGATTATCATCATCATCACCATCATCATCGTTATCATCATCACCAGCACTTTATCCGAATCATCATCATTATCATCATCATGATCATGATTATCATCACCACCACTTTTATCCCAATCATTACCATTATCATCCTCTTCTTCATCAGCACCATAATAATCAGCAGAAGCAATATTGATACCAACACGAACTTCATCATCACCGGCATTACCCTCAATAATACCATCATATACATCATAGTCATCAGTCATCTTTATGATATAATAATTACTTCAATTGATATTCGAACGCAAGACATATCGTTTATTGTATATAGGTATTTCTTAAAGTTAAGATTTGTAATTCATTTCGAATTCGAAAGCTGCAAATATCCGTGAAAAGGAGAGAATGAGATGTAAAGTTTCACCATCAGCATTAACATCATTATTGCTACCGAAATCCGTATCCCTATCAACATCACCTTCACCACCTTAAAGGTAAAGACCAGTATTGGAAACGCCCCAATTTCAAAAAATGAAATGGAAGCTCTCATTACCAATCATGTGAAAGAATATGTGTTGACTAATACATGATGATAAAAATTTGCCGGGAAACCACCTACTAATTCATATATTTGGTAAATTTGTTTCTCTCATGGTCTGTGAGAGATATAGGGTAGTCCCATATACATCTTTCTGTGTATAGTGCTTGTAACTTTACGAAGAATGGGCCAAATTTCTTATCATTTTGATGATTCCAGAACCTTGCAGATGCTAAATGCTAGATGATCAACCTTTTCTGATCGATTCTACAACGTTTCTTTCACAATGCAATCGCATGACCGTAACTGGTCTTTACCTTTAACCACCAACATAATCATCAACACCACCACCAACAACACCAACACCAGAACCAACAACAACAACACCAGAACCAACAACAACAACACCAAAACCAACACCACCAACACCAGAACCAGCACCAACAACAACAACAACACCAGAACAAACGTCACCAACACCAGAACAACTTCCACACCACAACCACGGCTGCCATTCCGTGACCAAGACCACCATTGCTAATGTTATCATAGTCACAACTATCACAATGATAACCAATACAATCACTATCATCATCGTCATCATTGCCATCATCATCATAATCTTCATCACCACAACCATCACCACCAATACTATCTTCATCATCATCATAATCACCACCGATGCCATAATCATCACCCTTATCTTCATCATCTTCATTATCATCATAATTAACAAAACCATCTCCTTTACCACGGCCAAGACCACCATCATCATCGCCACCACCACTGCTGCCGCCACTGCTACCACCACCGTAGCCATAACGACCATGATCGCAACCACATTTCCAAATTCCCCGCCGCTATTAAATCTACCATGATGAATACAACAATATTATTGTTAGCATCATCACCAGATTAATCGCATCCATCCTCACCATGAATGTCTCCATCAACAACGCTTTCACGAACTCAATCACTATAACCACCACCATCGAAACCACCACCGCCACCACCACCATCACCATTACGAACAGCACCAATATTACCACCAACACTATCAACACCACCACCACCCCCACCACCACCACCACCACCACCACCAACACCACCACCACTACCTTGCACCATTACGAACAGCACCACCTCTAATATTATCACTAACATAAGCACCATTACCAGTTTGCTCACTGTTACCACGAACATCATCACCACTATCATGCTATCACCATGATCACCATAATCAATCATACTCATCACCATTACTGATATCATCATTAACACCAACAACACCGCTATCACCAGCACCATTAGCAGCACCAGTATAATTACTGTGACCATGACTACTGACACCAATCCTTTTACCACCATCACCCCAACATTCCTCACCATGAGCAATGATAACCACGAATATCATCTTCGCCACTACCAGCAGCACCACTAGTGCAATCACCGTCACCAAGGTTACCACGGACATCACCATCATCGATTTTGACAACACTGTGTACTTCAAACTTGTAATCAAATCATTATATTACTGTCAGAATAACATCATTTTCTTGAAATTTTGTAGGACCATAGAATATGCAAATCTCTTCCTTGCTTGTTCATATCATTGACCATCCAAGCGAACACCCAACGTTCTTATGACGTTCACTGACGTTAATAGGTCACCCTCACTATCACCATCCTTATCTCCATCAATCAACCTCTACCACCATTAGCACCAGCAGCATCATTAAGCATCACTATCGATACCACTATACCGTACACGTTTACAATCACAACTACAGCCATGCACCAACATCACCACCATCACCACTCCGATGTCATCACCATCTCCATCACCATCACTACTTGTACAATCGCGTCACAATCGTCATCCTATGCAGTTATTAAAAAAAAACTTTAACTCACCATTACCGCTACCACAACTACCAACATCATTGTCATCATAATCACCATCATCTTGACCATCATTACTATCATCATCTTCATCACAATCGTCATCATCATCTCAGTCATCGTCAGCATCCTAATCACCATCATCATCACCACTACCGCTACCACAACTACCAAAATCATCGTAATCATTATCACAATCATCTTGACCATCTTTAATATCAGCATAATCATCATCACCACCGTCATCATCATCATTATCACAACCGTCAGCATCAGCATAATCATCATCACCAACGTCATCATCATCATCATCACCACCCTCATCATCAGCATAATCATCATCACCACCGTTATCAACAGCATAATCATCATCACCACCGTCATCATCATCACCACCGTCATCATCAGCATAATCACAACCGTCAACATCAGCATAATCATCATCACCACCGTCATCATCATCATCATCATCACCACCGTCATCATCATCAAAATCATCACATGCACCTTCACCCTCACCATGACTATAAACATCATCATCTTTATTAACTTATAATCACCATTAAAAACATTATAATATTCATCATCATCGTCATCATCATAATCATCATCATCACCAACACTATTACCAACAACATCATCATCATCATCATCACCACCACCACTACCACTATTATGAAGACCAGCATCATCATTACCGCTACCACAATTACCATCTTCATCGTCAATACCACCACTATCACTACCATGGCTACCAATATTATTACAATGAACATCATCACAATCAACATAATCATCATCATAATCTCCATTGTCAGTGCTGTTATCTTTATCATCATCATCATGACCACCACCACCACTACCAACATCCTCATCATCACCATCATCATCATCATGACCACCACCACCACTACCAACATCCTTATCATCACAATCATCATCATCATGACCACCATCACCACTACCAACATCCTCATCATCATCACCATCACCATCATCATGACCACCACTACCACCACTACCAACATCCTCATCATCATCACCATCACCATCATCACCATCATCACCATCACCATCATCATCATCATCATCATCACCACCACCGCTATCACTATTATGAAGACCAGCATCACCATTACCGCTACCATCATCATCTTCATCACTACCACTACCATGGCTACCAACATTATTACCATCAACATCATCATAATCATCATTGTCAGTACCATCATCTTTGTTATCAACATCATAATCATCATCATCACCACCACCGCTACCACTCTTATGAAGACCAACATCAGCATTACCACTACAACTACCATCATCATCTTCATCATCAACACCACCATCGCTATCACTACTATGGCTACCAACATTATTACCATCAACATCATCATACTCCCACTACCATGACTACCAACATCATCATCGTAACCACCATTGACAGTACTATGATGTTTATCATCATCATCATCACCACTACCGCTACCACTATTATGAAGACCAACATTACCATTACCGCAACCACCACCATGACTATCAACATTATAAACATCATCATCATCATCATCCCCCACGTCGTCGTCACTTATCATCATGCTATCCATTACCTAACCTCTGTATCATCATAATCATCAACACCATCGCTTGCACTACCATAACTACCAACATCATAAACATCATCATCATAATCACCATTGTCATTACCATCATCTTTATCATCGTAATCATAATCATCATCTCACCACCACCACTACCACTATTATGAAGACCAACATCACTATTACTGCTACCACAACTACCATCATCATCTTCATCATCAACACCACCATTGTTACCATGAGTTCCAACATTATTACCATCAACATCATCATAATCACCATCATCATCATCACCACCACCGCTACCACTACCATGACTACCAACATCATCAAAATCATCATCATAATCACCATTTTCAGTACTATCATCTTTATCATCACCATCATAATTGACATCATCACCACCACCACGACCAACAACATCATCACCACCACCACCACCACCACCACTGTTACGAAGACCAATATTACCATCACCGCTACCACCACCATGACTATCAACATTATAAACATCATCATCATCGCCCACGTCGTCGTCACTTATCATCATGCTATCCATTACATTACTTCTGTATCATCATCATTTCAGAGGCCTACCTTACATTTTGTAGTTACACCTCAAGATTTCACTGTTTTTTAATCATGAGATTCTTCCCCACACTAATTATATGATGATGATGATGATGATGATGATGATGAAGATGATGAAGCCGATGATTCACAGCATTTGTATGGCGCCATATATCTGTTTATCACATTCAAAGGCGGGGACACTTTGTTCCACGCCACAGTCAACCTTGAAGTAGGGATCGCCCAGGTTGAATACAACTCGCTGATGAGTGTTTCCACGTCCATTCGAAACTCCAGAAAAACTCCTCTCTCGCTTATATCTGTCAGAAGAAATAAAACGCTGTCCTCGGTTTGCAACAGTAGATGTTATGTTAGTCCGACTCTAAACTGCAATCTTCACGAAATATTTAGTGAAAAAAGTCTCATACCTGCATCTTTTCGACCTTCCAAATTTAACCATTTTTGGCAATTTCAAAATCACGGCAAGCTCATATACACACATCTCCTATACAATTATATCTACATAAAAATATCTACGCTTTGCTATGCTTTGAAATATATGTTGACAAGTTTTACACGGCAGCAATATTTCCAACGTCTCCAACGTCACTATGAAGTCTTTTGGTTTTACCTGTGAATGTTCTCAGTCTGATGATTTGAGAGAAACAGATGCAATCAATCGTTTTGTCCAGTGCAAAATATCACGTTTGTACATCATAAGTAATTCTTGTATATGTTGCTTTAAATCTCGTCTCAATCCCGCTAGAGATTTCCCGTTTCGTTCTTGGGCCATAGCAAGAAATCACACTCTCGGCAACCGCTCGGTTTTTCTTGGAGTCTGTCGGGAAATTTCGCGAGCTGAAAGAGACCGATGGCTTCAGAGTTCCACCAAATTATTGTGACCCATTGTGACGTCACGTTTCCGCGGGCACGTGACCATTGTCAAACAAAGACATACGGATCTGTAGTAATTACAAATAAAGATGAGATAATATTAGAAAATTAGAGGCAAAAGTACAATAAAATATCAATATTTTTAAGGAATGCCAGTGTGAGGATATTACCAAGTAAAAAAAAAACGCCCTTTACATACGATAGTTTGTAAAGGGTTGTAAAGGGCGTTTTTTCTTCTTCTTGGTAATAACCTCTCCAAAATTACCATATTTACACTCCATACGATACAGGGGCGCTTCTAGTGGTACACATGATACACATCTACAACTTTGCGTACGTTTGTACAGGTTTTGTATAAAGCGGGTTCTTAATGTCCAACAAAAAAGTTTGTTTTATTGACTAGAAATATTGATATACAAGTATAGCTTAAATGTAAAAGAATGCTTTGTCTTTATCGATATGACGCAATAATTCATTTTTTCCTTGGAGGTTCCATATCAAACATAAAGCAGAACTTTACGAACTTTCTCATGAAGGCTATTATGCACCCTGAAGATTGTGCATCAGAAAAGAGTAGAAAGTGACGACATGTATTACATATTTTGTATTAAGTCGACGTCAGAAATCAAGTCTTTTTACTTAAAAAATTAAAAGTAAGACAAAAAAAGAAGCAATAAGTGCTGTGGTATTTTTTCCAAAAAGTGTGTTCGCTAAAAACAAATAGAATTAAAACTCCTTTTTGTCATTAATATTTCAGTGTTACATAGAGAGACATGTGCACAGTGGGATGAAGTATTTAGTAATGAAATTAAAACAAAGGAAGAAAAAAAGAAATCTGAATTTTGAAACTTTAGTGATTAAGCCAAATTTAAATTAATTGTCACAGTCGATACAGTGGATTTGCTATAACATCGCAAACAAACCCATCCGTTTATGAAGGCTAAACTGAAAATATTCATTACAGCTTAATGTGGGACTATGCCTCGGGCGGCGCTTAATAGACATAATTATATCCACAATTAATGTCCTACCCCCGCCTCCCGCCTCCCCCTCCCCCTCCTTTCCTCCCCCTCCTCCCTCATCAGTCTGGTACGATGCTTCTCCAACCGCTTGTCATTAACTTATGGATACGCCTTTGCCGTATGCAGACTATTAAAACGCACATACTTCCGTCGCAAGGGAATAAAATACTTAATGATTATATACTTTATCCGCTCATTATTTAGACAAACTTCCACAACTGATTGAAATCCGTTTCTTAACTTCAAAGATCTCATTTTTTCTTTCTTAAATACATTGAACATGACTGCAGACGAATTGCTTCAAATGTCACATAAGTAGTTTGTTTTACAGCCAGGTCTATATCTCTTTTGACAAAGTGCAAAATTAAATGTAAAGGAACCACACAAAATAAGGACTTCCAGAAAATTACGAGATAATGAATTACTTAAGTAGATGAAGATATTTGTCATGTTGATGGCAACATCGCAAACTCATTCATGCACATTCTTTAGCAATCAATGTGATAAAAACACGTTTTCCAGGAGTAATGTTACATCATATAATTGAATCCATGGTTGAAAAACAAAACCAAATATTCGCATGCATGGGTTTTAAGGAAAGCGTCCAACAAAAACGATAAACGGCCTGTTTAAATAATGAAATGAGAATCGACTGCAATGAAATAGACACTAATATTTAGTCACAGTTAATTCTTACCTAGTAAACGCATTCTGTGAAAAACAAATTAATCATATCTTATTAGAAAATCTATATCAAACAACAATGTCTAATTTTATTGGTTGTAATTGTTCAAAATGTCCTTAATCTTTTCTTAAATGCCCCCCCCCCCCAAGAGAAAGATTGTACGAATATTCAAGTTCCATTGGGAATGGAAATATTATAGAAAGGTCGTACACTTGTGAAATTTTTCCTTATTCATTCATCCTTTATACATATTCCAGAATAGCGCATGCTTTATTTTCCAATTTAAGTCAAATCATAGAAAAGGGTCTAATACTTTTTTTAATGGTATTTTTTTCCTGAAAGAGCAGAAAAATAATCAAGATAAGTTGAGAACTCCATAAAAGCATCATTGCCCATCTGATATTGGATTTCCCTTCCAATTATGTTAAATTTTCATATATAATGCATTATAAAAAACGCCTATAAACTTAACAAAGGAACTTTCATTACTGCATGGATGTGAATGAATTAATATCTTAATTTCACAATGTTAAAGTTCAAAGACAAGTTGAGGAAGAGATGTTTACGTACATCCGTTGCAGTGGTAACGATTGAATGACCCCTATGATGATGCGGACTTCGAGTGTTCCTCCAGGCGTTCCACTTCCGTCTCAATGTCGCCCTCACCTGTCAAAAATAAAATGGTAAAAAGATCGCAAAAGCTTTCGAGAAATAAACTTAAGGGCAATTCTAATACTGCATTGTCTATCCCTTCAAAATCATGTTCTGATAATGGAATCCGTCATTGTAATATTTGCCAGTTGTGCCCACCTGCATGGGCCAATCACTTGACCCCCTTCCTCCCCAGCCCCTCTCCAGATAAAATACTGCAAATGAAACGTAAAAAGGACCGAATAATGATAAAAGGGATATACATCTAGGACGCCCTTAAATGTCAAAGCTCCAAAGACATGCCACGGGGGTGGGGGGGGGGGGGGGTGTTTCACAATCGAATTTAAGTTGGACTTAACTATGGCAGGCCGTTCATGCCACTGTTTGCTCTCACCATTTACTGGCATTAGCCTCTCAAGGGACGTACAAATCATGGTCCCAAATCTACAGAATTTACATTTTTTGATAATTCATTATTTAAGGAAAATTCATTATCTAAAGATCATAAGGGTTAGAGAAAACAGTGGCATGAACAGCCTGTCATAGTTAAGTCCAACTTAAGTCGATCTTAGTCTTTGTGAAACATTTCCCAGGACACCTTAACTCACCTCTGCATTGACAAAACAGTAGAGCACAGCGACGAAGAATCCTTGATAGGCATCGAGGAAGAGGAAGAGATAGTGATAGATGAGGATGAAGGACTTTTCATCATCGGGTTTGGGTCGTGGTATTAGCCACACCAGGTTTGCGATGCCTAGCAGTGGCAGAAGAACGATAGCTGCTTTAAGAGCTTTCCTGCATTGAACAAGATAGAAAAGAAGAAGAAAATGATGGCGAAAAAATAAAGAAGAAGAGAAGGAATTGGAGGAGGATGAAGAAGTAGAACAAGAAGAAAAAGTAAAAGAAGAAAAAGAAAGAAGAAAGAAGAAAGAAGAAAAAGAAGAAGAAGAAGAAGAAGAAGAAAGAAGAAAAAGAAGAAGAAGAAGAAGAAGAAGAAGAAGAAAAAGTAAAAGAAGAAGAAGAAAGAAGAAAGAAGAAAGAAGAAAAAGAAGAAGAAGAAGAAGAAGAAGAAGAAGAAGAAGAAGAAGAAGAAGAAGAAGAAGAAAAAAGAAGAAGAAGAAAAAGAAGAAGAAGAAAAAGAGGAAGGAAGGAATGAAGGAAGAAGAAAAAGAAGGAGAAAAGGAAGAGCAAGAGAAGGGGAGGAGGAAGAAGAAAATATTAGCTCATATAGTTCCTAACTTTTTTAAGTTTTAGCTTTGGTATATGAACGTTTATTAAGTGTTTGTTTGTCTTTTATTTTTTTTAATTTAGTATTTTCCCAATCTTTTATGTTGTAAGTAATACGGTACTTTATTTTTTTAATTTCCCTGGCTATCCATTTCATCATCATCATTATCATTCCACAGAAATGAAATAAAAGTCGAAAAGTAGGTTGTCCCTCGGGCTTTAATCATCGTAAAACGTTTTCAATTTTTCACATTTCCCATAAAACGAACAAAAATGGAGATAGCTACAGACCAGGAGCAATAATTATTCCACGAATCGCTTGTTATTTGGGGCGATATCATAAGCTCGGACGTTCGAGTGTTTAGAATGAGAATTAATACCTGCAATTTAATGGGTTGGTAAAGGTTAAGGCAACGCAATTTTGGAATCTGTACATTTGTCGAAATGCCTGAAAGGGATACCCTGGGAAAACTGAAAACAACAGGTACATGATGATTTAATCATATTTAATTCCCTTTCTTCTGCGAGATGCGAGTAGCCTTAAGTAATATAACAATCCCAGCAATTCCCATCACATGGGTATAATTTGCTTTAATCGTATTTTACTTATATTCATTACAATTTTGTATGCTCTCGTAAAACAAAGAATGAGAGATCCATTGGTTTGCTAGCCACTCACTAGAGATCGCTTCCTTTGTAGTTAAAGGTAAAGACCAGTAATGGTAAAATTGCAGTTCAAGGGTTTTGGGTGCGAAATATCCATTCAATATTGTTTGAATATTGTCTTCAGAGGTTTAGATGGCAATACTTCAACCTAAATTCTCAAAAAAGCAGAAATATATGCCCAAATGCTCAATGTTGAAATGGCCGAATGAACGGTTCAGTCGCTTGCCGTTCGATGAACAATTTTAAAATTCAAACAGCGCCATCTATCAGGAGTAACTATACTGCGCAGGCGCTAATGTCTGTCGTCTGCTTGCAATGGCGAGATTTGAGAATCGATTACAAGTTGAAATAAACATTGGGTTTGTATACTAGCAAAGTGACTGCGGTAGCTGCCAGTGATCAACCGTGTTGCGTCGGGCTCAGCTGTACATGTATGGAAGGATTGCCCGGCCCTCGCATGGGCTGTCTGCATTCACCACCACAGTTGAGATCTGAGCCGTGTCAGTTCGTTCACTAAATTCTACAACTTTACAATATTAAACCAGCAGTACTAGGCTTAGCATTTGACGAAAAGGGACTTACCTGTGTTCCGTGTATTTTTTGTCCGTGCCAAAAAAAAAATTTAGCATTGAAAATCGGAAGGATAGGATTCCACTAGCATGACTAGTGATACCACTTTCCCAGGTCGATCCCCGTCAAAATCAAATCACAGCAAGGGGCTAACTAGGCCAACAAAGAGGTATGGAAAGACCAAACATGATGAACAAAATTCATGTAAACGTTCTGCGATCTTCAATTTCGGCGCAATTTCTCGTAAATTTCTAGATCATCGTATTTGTCGCTAAATACATTACAAATTGTCCATTACGAAATACACACGACACATTGTGTACGATGATCTCGCACCCAAATGAGTGTGTCTGGCTATTCTAGCCCGTCAACGTGCCCGTGTACCTGTTGAGTAACCCCCCTTGTATTTTTTCAATTATATTGTGCACCTATAATTTCGCGCGTTTTCCTCCTTGGCCCAACCGTCATGCCGATCGGTCGCGCCGCACTGAATATATAGGAAGGGGGGAGGAGGGGGGGGAGGGGAAGGGGGAGGGGGAGGGGGAGGGGGGGGGGGGGGGGCGAGGGAAGGTGCATCATAAAACTATGTTGTCTATATTATCGTTACCATCGACTTATATCATCGAGGGTCTTTATCGGTGTTTTTCTTGTTTTCCTTCTCCTCCTCTAGCTCCTACTCTTGTACTTTATTCTTCTAATTCAATTCTTCTAGTTCTACTTCTTCTTCTTCTTCTTCTTCTTCTTCTTCACCTTCTTCTAAAAGACCTATACATCTTCTTCATCTTCTTCTTCGTCTTCTTCTTCACCTCCTCCTCTTGGCTACTTTTGACAGTTCCGTCTCTTCTTCTTCTTCTTCTTCTTCTTCTTCTATTTCTTCGTCTTCTATATAACAATACTTTTGTTCAAAGGCGATTGAAATCCAGTAGATGATAGTTTGCCCGTAATGAGGCAAAAGACCGCAGCACCAACCCATGCATTATGTATTAAATTTGTATTCATTGTTGTTCAGGTTAATTGCAATATCATTATAAAATGGAGAATTGGCCCAGGCAAAAAGACCTCAGCACATCCCCCCCCTCCCCCCCCCCCCCCCCCCCTTCCTCTGGATAATCCGTAATGGTACGCTTATGGTGTATATTATTATGATATTTGAGATTCAAAATATCAAATTCTGTGTGTACTAAAAACATAACGCTCTGAAAATTAACCATTGCTCCATTTTATAAAAAGGAAAAGGGAAACTACATTGAAAGGATAAACAAAGAAATTTCACACAATATCCACTTCAATTACAGTATAAAGTCGTATATTATAGGAGAGACGTGAAAGCTAAAATTTGAATTGTAAAACTATTTGCAATAATCTGTGTAAGGATCAAATGTAATTATAATTCCTCAATGAGTTAATAAAACAATAATATATATTCCTATAACCACATACAAAAAGTTTATTGCAACACCTCAAAATCTGCAGGACACATGTCATCCCGCAACGGCGTAGTGTGTGGGGGGGGGGGGGGGGGGGGGGGGAACCCCCAGATAATTTCGAAAAACCAAAAGAAACCATCAGGATATATTTTTCGAAACAACAAAGAAATACATAATTTGGCGTGCCCCCTCAATCAGTCCGACCACGCTCCGCCACTGTCATCCCGCATGTCACCTTCCAAATGAGATGATTACGCCATTGGCAATAATGCATGACAGACTGAATATCGTTCAGAACACTTTTTATTCTCCCAACAAAAGGAGGATATTCTGTTGACAATATCGATGAATTTTGCAACATGTTGCGTATGACTAACTTTATACAACATATTTAGATGTAATTCCACGATAAAATATCAATGAAAAGGGGAGAAAACAAGCTTTACGAAATAACAAACTTGAATTGCGGTACCTTTGTTAGGGGTTTCTTTCCTGTTTTGGGCAAATACTGTTGATCATGGATTGTTTTTTTTTAATTTTTCTATCATGTGCTGACGTGTTCCAAGGCTCGCGTATTCCCAGTTTTTTTTTTCTTTATGTGTTTTATTGAACAATAATATATTTTTTTTAAATCACAATATTTACAAGTTATTATAAAAACATTACAAAAAATCAGTAAAACGCAGATCAAAACCTCACGAAAAGGAAATTTACACCATTTACAACATTATAAAACAGGATTATAAGACAAACTTCCATTTTTTAAAGTTTAGATCCATCTCCTACAAACAAACTTTGAAGACAGTAGTTGTATACTGGGCGTATGATAATTATAGACGAGCCCATTTTGATTATTCACTTTTTTTTTTAGTGCGTACACGGAGTCTGGCGTTTATAAGGAAGTTTGGGGGGGGGGGGCGGGGCGTTTAGATAATTTTGACAAATTCAACGGGAATTAGCAACATGGCGGGATAAACATGACTTATGTGAGGAGAACCAACAACATGATCACAGAATTAAAAAACGCTCGAATCGTGCTGGGTTGTTACTTTATGACGTCATATTGTCGTCACCATCGAAGGTCATTATCGGGACCCATTATGCCCTCATTTTCTTTTTCTCATTTTGTTTCTTCTTCTTCTCCTCCTCCTGCTCCTACTTTTGTTCTTCTTGTTCATTTCCTCCTTCTTCTTCTTCTATATTTTGTTCAAGGCGTTTGAAATCTAGTAGACGATAATTTGCCCGTCGTAATAGAGCGCAGCACCTCCCCCCCCCCCCCCGACAAGCCGTAATGGTATTTTCCCTGTGTTTTTCTTTTTTTACTATAATAATTTGGAAAATAATGCTAATTATGGATGTGATGTGATGTGATTATAAATTGTGATGACGCGTTTCAAGTAGATCACCCTCTTAACAAACCAGCTATCAGGTGATATAGAGCCCATTTTTATAATTCTTTTTTTTTTTTGGTGCATGATTGAGCCTGTTGGTGGGGGGGGGAGAGGTAATTTTGTCATATTCAATCGCAAATGAAAAAGTGACGTGTGAGTAGCACCTTGCTCTCAGCTAGACGAACTATAACTGCATGAAAAAACGATTAAATTGTGCTGCGTTGTCACTTTGGTGTTGAAGAGTGCCGAAAACTGAAAACTGACATTATTCAGAAACAACCGCTACAAGTAGAATTTTTTTTAACGATTTACTGGCAAAACTCTTTTCTTCATGCATTATGTATTAAATTTGTATTCATTGTTGTTCAGGTTGATTGCAATATCATTATAAAATGGAGAATTGGCCCAGGCGAAAAGACCTCAGCGCAACCCCCCCCCCCCCCTTCCTCTGGATAATCCGTAATGGTACGCTTATGGTGTACATTATTATGATATTTGAGATTCAAAATATCAA